ATCCTCCATTTCATACAAAATTGGAAGAAAGAGGAGTGAGAGAAACAAATACTCCTATTTGTTAGATAAATTCGATGAAATGACACAAGTTCTTATCCTCATTTAAATTTATTAAGTTATATATTTCAAGATTTATACAAAATATCTTAATAACAAGTTGGATACACATTGTGTAAAAATTATTATATAATTTGAGATTACTTGATCTGGTCAATTACTTGTGGCCCACATAAGCAAAAAATAACAAAAAACTGACACAATTGCATACATAATTGCACGACCATGTAAATTTTTTTATATTGTACGACCATGTAAAATTTTTTATATTGTACGTTAAATTTGGAGTTAGTTACTAATGGTTTATTAACACAATGGTATAACCTCTCTCCCTTGAAGAGAGATGAATGGTTCAAACTTTGGACAATTTATGAAATGCATGTGCTTCAAATTTTGTATTAAATAATTTGTGAAATGTATGTGTGAGTACTAATCTAATAAATAAATAAGAGAATGTGTTTGTTTTAAATTATAATTGCCATCAGACATCAGTGCATAAGAAAGCAGTGGATGGATTAGAGTATTGTAAATTCCTACGTTTATAGTTGGTCTTGATTGCTATGGTCTATCATGTTCATGTACACACTCACTCACTCACACACACACACACACACACACACACACTTATAATTTGTGAGATGATCAGTGGCTATCATCATTATAAAACAATCAGAATCTGTAACCCTCCTTCTGATTTTCCTGTTCAACACCTCTCTATATATGGGACCTTTATAATTTGATAGATTGCCGCTTTACCAAATTTGAAATCCTTTTTGGGCCTTTGTAGGAACCACTTACTTGAATACTAATCATGTAAAATTTGTTTGAAAGGTACTTAATTTCCCTCTCCCCACTATGCCATTATTGCTCACAAAACCGCCTCACATGCTTCAAAATTCACTAAGATTCATGCCCTACTCACCATTCTGGCTTAGGGCTAGTTGTAACCCGTGGGCACTTGCCCGTTGATTCAAAAGTTTAAGTTGTTAGATACTATTGCACACCTATTCATTTATACCTATTTTATTTTTCATTCAGATTCGATCTGAGTAGACACCTCTAACATTCTCCCCTATCCGAACTAGCAATGCCCTCATTACGGTCAGGGTGGCCTACTCATGACGACAATCAGAACACTTCTGGACCGAGCTCTTGGCGTAACACCGGATCAATAACTAGATTTGTGTAACAACCATCACCTTATCCAGACACAATATTATCCGCTTTTGACTCCCCTAAATCAGAGACTTTCTAAGGGGTCACCAATCCTGGTACTATTATAGGTTAAGCATGCTTAACTCCGAAATTCTAATGGGTTCACGGTCATCATGGTTTTAAAACGTGTTGTGTCATACAAGGGTGTTGAATCTATATATAGCACCTGCCCCCTCCCATCTGTAACTCTTTCAGTGTGGTAGCTTACTTGTGCCACCTGCACACGCTCACATACTTGTCCATAAGGTCGTCACATCTTTGACTCTGATACCAACGGTAATGGGTGGACGAACAAGCATCCACCAGTTACACTAGTCCAGTATACGAGACTTTAGTCATGGCAGATATGGGCTATTTGAAATTTTTTCAGATAACCGAAATTGAGATATTTGGTTCTTGTTCAAGTAGAGTGAAATTATTTTTATTTTTTGTAAAATAAAAGACAAAAAAGAAAGAAAGGAAGGAAGGAAGGAGGATTGAGATTTGAGACATGAGATAAGCCAAAATAAAACTAATAAATAGAATAAAAGGCAATCAAGTTAGAGAGACTTTGGGGGTTGATGATGGACTTTAATTGATGGGGCCTTAACATCTATTAGCTATAAGAATTTTCCACCGGATGGAAAGTTTCACACATTTTCCATGAAAGTGACAATGGGAGGGAGGTCAGGGGGACCACATTCATGTCTAATGTTCATAAGAAGAAAAGGAAAAAATAAAAATAAAAATATCTTGAATGATTAACCTTAATTGACTCGCAACCATCCCATTTGTTTACCATTTGTGATTAATATAGGTTGATTATGACATTGACAGGTGCTTTATTCATCATAACCCACAATTTCATGAAATAGTATAGCAAGACCATGGTTTACTTTTTAAGTTGTATTCAACTTTAATGGATGGACCTAGCAGCCTCCCACTCAAAAAAATATAATAATAATATATATCTAGTCTATTTTGTAAGTGTTTTGTTATATGATGTTTTGAATTGTAATCGGAAATATGTTTGGCAATGTTTTTTATTGTAAAAATTTTGAAAACAAAAAATATAAAAACATGTTTGGTAATAACGTGTTTCAAGTTTAAAAAATATAATAGCTTGTTTAAAAAGGTCATTTTAGAGTTTTTTTAATTTTTTTTGTTACTATTCATTGATATAGTACCCGTTGCTACAATGCAGAAACATGTACCAAATTAATATTTTGACTTTTAACTACTATTTACTAAACGTTTTGGCACTGTACAAAATAAATTTTTTTTTTATTAAACATGTTTTTTCCACTGTTCACTGTTGCAGTTCTCGAAAAAAACAAAACGCATATCAAACAGGCTCAAAAGTTTCAATTTTCATAAAAAACAAAAATAACGTTTTTGTTGTGGAGTGTGTTTAATAATGATTGGAAACATGTTTCATAACGCAAAATTATTACAAGATTTTTGGAAGCAAAAAAAAAAAAAAATTGTTTGTTATAAAAGTGTTGCAAAATTGAAAAACAAGATGGCTAATTAAAAAGTTTACCTAGATTATTATTTATTTATTTATTTATTTTTGATAATGTACACGTTTTTGCTACATTTCAAAAGCATTAAGTTTCCGAATTGAGGCCGTTTTCGGCAACAAACGAAATACCATTCAAATTTCAACAAAAGTTATCAAATGTGTTGATGTGTACTTCACTATAGTGCACCCACCTGCAATAGAAAACACCAAACAAAAGTTATCAAATGCATTGCAGTTACTTCACTACAGTAGACTACTTGCAACAAAAAACACCAAACAAAAGCAATTGACAAAGCCCGTAATATGTGATTTGAGATTACCATCAACAAAATATTAAAATTCGAATCCATTGCCTATGACCAAAACAGTCCAAACACTCAAGAGGTTCATTTTTTTGTGTCCTGTGTGCTCAAAACAAGTAGTCCCAGACTACAACACTAGTACTACTAGTAGAAGATGCTTGTATGTCTTCTGGTTTAGCTGAATTAGACAAAGAGACCCATAATGCTTATTATTATTTTTATCAAATTTATTCCTAATAGGTCGCGATGGTTTATTTTTTATAGGTTCAATGTAAAAAGGTTAAATTTGTAATATTAAAAAATAAAAAATAGTATAGTGACTTTTCAAATGAGACTTTTACTTTAGGACTGATAAAAAAAAAATTTAAATATTTACTCAGTGTAAAAATCATTTTCCTTTTTGAGTACCGAAACTCAAATGATCTCAGTCATCCAATATAGAACAGTAAAATTAGTTTCAACTTAATTTCAAAAGGACCCAATATTCGAATTTTTCAAAATGCACTTTATTTTTAAAGTCAAATGACACAACTGCCTCTAACTTGTAAACAATCAAACTAGTACTAGGGTTAGTCATTTATGTTAAAAAAAAAAAAAGGGAAATTATCATCTTCCTTTTGAGATTAACCCTCTAATTATATCAAAACTTTTGATTTGTTTGTTCAAAAAGAAATAAAGCATTTAATCGAAGGGTACAAAGTATGCCATCTTGATTTTTACATAAGAAACTCTATTCGCACTCTACTTTCAACTAATTACACTCCACTCTTAAAGCAAAATGACACGAGTGTTCCTAACCTATAATTAGGAAAACCAATAATTATGAATATGTTTGTTATTTATGTCAATAAAAAAAAGTGTATTTTGTGAGAATGGAAGTACATATATTAAATATATAAATGAGATGATACATCCTATGAAGATGCAAATGAGTTGATTTAAGTGAAGGCTTGGGCCATCGCATGACGTCAATGTAATGTCATGTAATGATATTCATAACTTCACTTTTTTTTTTAGAATGTTAAATGCTAGTAGTTAGAGGAAAGACGGAAATGGCAATGGCCAAACACGAACTTCTAAATACAAGGAGTAACCCAATCACTCGAGAAATAATGCACTTGCAATCCGTACTCTCGCTTACATCACTCACTTTTGACATTTTTCAAATTCGAGAGTGTATCATTTTTCTTATATAAATTTTTGTACAATTAACAAGGAAAGGAACCAAATAAGTGTATTTGATAAGAAGTGAAGTGCAAATATCAAATATTATATAATATTATGTACCATTAATTGGTCTTTTTTATTTATTAAATGTACTGATTCTAAAGTGAAATGACATTAGTGTACATAAATCATAAATAACAGAACCAAAATTTAAGGGTGTGTTTGTTATTTAAGTTAAAAAAGAAAAATGCATTACTCTCTCTGTTATGCATGGTGCGTGTATGTTATATATATATATATATATATATATATGTATAGTAGTAATACTATATGCTTTAAACGAGGTACACAGTAATCATAAAATACATACTTTCCTGTAACGAGCGAAGAATCAACCAATGGGCAATGAGGAACCAGCATAAATACTATATTTTATTGTCGTAAATAGTTCCAACATAGAGGGTATTTATATCTCCAACCCTAATCCTCATCTTGCCACAGTGAAAAGGGGCCCACCTTTTGTCTGATGTATGAACCAATTAAACACTACTCAAAATGGCAAATTCCAAGCAATTATTCTGATTGCTATAATACGGTATTATTGAAGATTAAAACTAGCTCAACTTTGTCTTTTTAAGCAACGCAGGCATGTATATATATATATATATATATTGTATTTATATATCTATCTATATCTATATAGTTGTAATGTACACTTCTTACTAGTATTTAATTTTCATTAATATCTGTACTAAAAGCAAGGAAAGGTGGAGAGAATCTAGAAATGCCCATTTCTTTTCATTTCCTCAAAAACCCAGAAATTATTAAATTGGAAAAGAAATCATAGGGAGAGAGAGGAGAGAGAGAGAGAGAGGAAGAAAAGGCATAGAATTAAAAGAGACCGGATGTTGACAAATATAATGTCACTGTTCTTAGAAGGTCGTTTTTTTGTGTGTGAAGATTTCTTATCTGGGATCTCTCTCTCTAAAAAAAACTCTTTGGTTCTCTCTCTAAAAACTTCCTTTCTTTCAGAGACTGGCCCAGCAGATCGAAATCTCCATCTTTTCTTCTATCTGATGACGATCTAAGCTCCTCCAGATTGTGTTACCAAAGTACCCACTTTGTTGCTTCTCTGTATTTATTATGTGATTGTTCTTTTTTGCTCATATTGTCCTTGCTGGTGCCAGTCTGAGAATATAAATGTCCATGTTCTTAGTTATTGAGTATTGGAGGTACTACTTCTCATGACTTGAATCCATGGGTGGTTCTTAAGGAGAGGTGATTGCAGGATGTGGGTCTGAGGTAAAATTTAATATCATACACTTTCTGATTGATAATTGGATTCATGGGTTTTTGGATTCTGGAGTTTTGATGGATTCTTTATTTGATGATTTGGTTAATTGGGTTTTAATTATTTCCAAATTTCCTTTTTGGGTTTTTAAAATAATTGATTTTGATCTCTTGGAACAATTGGTTTTGTGCATTTTGCATTATTATATAATTGACTCACTTTAATGTAATTTGTTATTTTGTTATACTATTAATGGATTTAATGTACATTTGAATTTGGTAATTGGTCATTTTTATGTGTGATCTTTCTAGCTTCTGCTTCTAACCAGATTCTTTCTTATGGAAAACTTGGCAAAACGAAAAGAACTTACAAGTTCCCGTGTTGATGATAGGGTTTTTATGAAATTCTAGTATGTAGGGGCTTTTAATTGGATCATTTGAGATTGGAAGAGCTTATTGATTAGCCTTGGTTCTAGTGCTTAGATTTTTGCTTTTAGTATGTCTGCTGAGAAATTTATTGTGTACATGGTAATGATTTTTCTTAATTCTAATAAATAAGTGGTTTCAATTGCATCATGGCTCATCCGGGAGCAAGTCCAGAATGGTAGAATTCAATTTATTCTGCTTTACGTGGAGATTTGCCAATGACAGCATGTTGATACCTGATCAAATGCACTACTTTCCAAACCAAACATCATATAGATTATTATTAATCTTGCTGCATTTAAGTTGCCTACATGCCTTAGAAGGTTAATATTATATGGTTTATGATAGATGAGATCCGGAAGGTGCTGCGGATCACATATTCAGTTACTTTTATTCACCCGATTTTGAGATTTGGATAATGCCCACTCTAAGGTCTACAATCTTAATATCTTTTATGTATTTGCCAGCTTTCCTCTGCAACCTATTGTCATGTAGTATACTTTTATACTTCATGTTTTGATGGTGTTGCTTTTTAAGCTGCTGCTTTCCTCCCCCTTCCCGTTCCCTCCATAACAGGAAGAAATGTGTGTTTCTCTATCTTGAGGGACGTTTTATTAATTTGGTCAATGGATCATTCTTCCTGTTCAATTTGAAGCAGCCACCAGTAGATACATTGTTTTTTCCCCCTACTATTATAGCGTTTAATAGCAGTCTAAGCAATGAGCTTTGTCCCATGATTTTGACATTAAATTGAAACTGACGCGAGAGGTTCTTAGTCATGGTATTTTTTTTCGCCCTTTAAAGTGATTGTCAATCCTGAATTACCTTTCTGGTATCAATTTTTTTACTTACTCTTAATCAAGTGATTATAACAATGAATACACTAGGGCAATGTGTTCAGCACAGGTGTTCAGAGATATTTGGATGCCTTTGTGGAGCAGAGTGCTTTGTATACATTGTTTAATAAAGTAATTGCTCTTCCTTAATTTACCAAGAAAGAATAATTTTACATAGGATGTTGTGTAAACTCCTACATACCTGGAAAGAAATGAGGCTCTATGTAGCATATGACAAAATTTAACTCTTATTTAATTATTAATGTAATTCCGGATCATATCAAGAAATTTCTTTTGGGATCCTCTAATGAAAAGGGATATGTTTTGCCTCTTACTTTTGGACATGCTTGTTGGGTACTTGTTCCATAACAAGTGTGCAAACATCCCATTCCCTTACTCTGGCTATCCTCTGTTTGAATCAGGAGACTTATATTAAAGTATCAGGCAACATAGTTAAATCACAATCCAAATCTACGAGGTGTGTTTTTTTTCCTATTTCTTTCACACCTTTTCTGGATGACTTGTTGAGAGATATTAAGGGAAAGTTTTTCACCAATGCATTTAACCATTAGGTTAATGTTATTTCCCTAGCCATGATTATGACATGATACATACAATAGGATGTGTTTCATGAGTACAACAATATGTAACGCCAATATGTAGGTCTCATCTTGAATATTTTACAAAGATGCATTAATACTCTAGACACATTAATTAGTTTTGGTACTCGATATAAATAATCTTTTTTGACCTTTTGACGAAGTGGAAGCTATGAACGTTCACGAATGAAACAGTAAGCAACTTTGAAACCACCAAGTATGGGAAAAGAGAATTTTGAAAATATTATTAATCAAGGGATGGATTCTACTCTCTGCAGTACATGTATATATAATGAATAAACCTTAACAACGCAAGAAACCTACCGCATAAGCAAAGCTAAAAATAAGCCCAAAATGGAACTTTCTCTAAAAATTATGAAAAAATAGAATAAGAAACCTAATCACTAAAAACTACTAAATACCAAAAGTAAAAAAATTTCGAGTCCATTTAGACTTCTAACAAAAATCTTGAAATAATCAACAATTTTGAAAATGCGATTTCGGGGCCCTAAACGATGGAATTCTACGAGTTGGCCCATTTTCAATCGGGAATGGGTCTTTTCGGGTCAAAACGAGCTCATCGAATCTGTTTCGAAAAAAAGTGTCAGTCCACCTGTTTGGCCTTTCGGCTCTCCAAACTGGCCATATAGGTTTATGCAATCAATTCTTCATCATCTTTTATTTGACGAAAAAAAAAAAAAATTATAATTGTTGTTCCAAAGGTAAATTAAAATGGAAAAAGAAAAAACACACAGAGACTTTGTTTACTTGTGTCTCCTAGAAGGGGAAGTATAAGAAAGGAAATTTAAAATTTCTTTCGAATGTAATGCATTTAATGGAGTCCTTGGTAAAAAGCAAGAAAGAGTAAGCCGAGTTATAATACCATGTTTGTGTTTGCTTTTTTACACAGATTATATTCCATAGTTATTGGTGTTCTTCAACTTACCAACGCCGGCCACCGCACTCCACGGGTAATCATTGACATTCTTGAACTTGGACTATAAGCTTTTCTTTTTGTAGTGGGGTGGTGTCTTTGGGAGAGGGGTGACAGATGATCAGAAGCATCCACAAATTTACTGATATTTTAGATTCTAATTATGTTTTGTAGTGGATAAAATGGTATGAATTGTTACAGTTTTAAAAAAATATCCGATTCATGCCCCAATTTTGACTTATACTTTGTCATGTGAATGAAATTACTTCTCGTGTCTTTCATATATTACTTATTTCAATTTTTGCACATTTAAGTGTATCTTACAGTATTTAATACAATACAATTAGGAAAAAAAAAATGCAAAAGTTGATACTAAATTCAATCTATGACTTGGAAGTGATGGTTATTTCCAAATATTGAAGTATGAAGCATTATTTGATGTGTACATTCTTTTTATCTCTTAAGTGTATATATGGTATGCATACATGGCGGTGTAGACCGTGTAGCCTAATGGTACTTCCTCACCTTTCAAAGGAGAAGGTTGATGGTTCAAGTCCCCATAGGGGCATTGTGGGTGCGTGAGTGTGTTTCTTGCCAATGAAAAAAAAATTATGAATTACCAAAAGCATTCTAGTTGCTCTTTGTTATTTGCATTTGTTGTATTTTTTTTTTCCCAGCTCTTAAATACTTTAAGAGTATTTCCAGATACGATTCTTTTAACACTTATCTGAAATACAAAGATAATTTTCCTGAGAAAAGTTAATCCTTGTAGGAAACTAGGTCCTTTGTGACTAAATGGTATCCTCAAAGTGTAAACTTCCATGTCTTGCCCTTCTTTGCCTGTGGAAGCAACCCTGGGTTACCTTTTTCAATATTAATGTATGCTATCACTACATTCTGTATCAGCTCAATTTAGGCATCAATTCCCTTGGTTTGTCCATTTGTTGTTCAGACTACTTTGTTAGTTGCCTATGCTAGAGGATCAGAGTTTTGCTTGGGTCATCTGGATATAGATTTATCCTAATCAAACACTATAATTAATGAAACAACCTGATAATCATTGTCTTGTGTGTGTCACTCTTTTTGCTTTTCTTATCGGAATAATATGGCATGAATTGGTGCTTCAAATTAGCAAAACCTATATTTCAAGATTATTAAGGCTTTCTCACTGAAGGAAAACAGACTTTTCTTCTTTCCTTTTTTTTTTTTTTTTTTCCTTTTTTTAGTATAACAATCTTTATCTTCTATGTTTTTGTTCATATCAAGAATTAAGAGGTGGGTAATCATGCCAAGCAGTATGTCCTAATCAAGTGAAAGAAGTTTGATATTACTTTTTGCTGTTGAGAACTTGGTAACTGATTTATGTGATCTATATCAAACTTGGAATCATTGGTTGGCAGGAATGGGAACAAAAGTGCATTGTAAAAGCTACTTGCCGGCATATTACTCCATGAGGAATCATGATGACAATTCTAACAGTAGCAGCTGGCACCTCTTTCATGGAGATAAAACCTTAGCAAATGGGCAGTTTTACAACAGTTTCTTCCCATGGAGTGTCGCAGACGCGTATCCATCACACGATAAGGTTGCATTAAAGCAGAAAATGCTTGAGCATGAGGCGATATTCAAGAATCAGGCATGTAGTCCCAAGTGTCTCTATTGTTCCCAGTCATTTTTACACATTCAAACAATCTGCTCTATTTGATACTACTAATGGAGTCCATATTTTTGGAGGGTGTCAAGTAAATTCAATTGGGTTTTTTTTTTTTTTTTACATTTGCTGAAGTGCTCCATTCGCTTTCTAGATGCTTGTGATTATTTAAATCTTTTATTGTACCCAGGTTTATGAACTCCACCGCCTCTACAAAATACAGAGGGACATGATGGATGAAATTAAGAAAAGGGAAGCACATAAACAGTGGATATCAATTGATACATCGTCTTCGTCAACCCCATTGCCATCTCAAATGCCATCTGAAGAAGTTCAGAAATGGCATATCACTAGTTTCCCGTTGGCGAGCTCTGTTTCTGCTAGACAATCTGTTTCAGGGGCTGAGATTATTAATTCTCCTGTGAGTTGTACCAAAGGGGATGGGATGCAAACTGGTCCAAGTCCTTCCCAAAATGGATGCAGTTCAAAAGATTGTGAGGTGTTGGAATCCAGACCCTCAAAAGTGAGGAAAAAGTTGTTTAATCTTCAACTTCCAGCAGATGAGTACATTGATACCGAAGAAGGAGAACAGTCCCTAGACAATAAGACGTCTTACATTTTGAGTTATTCACCGAATACAAATCATAATGTTGCACATGAGAGTGGAGTAAAGTTGTTTCTTGGTGCTGAGGTGAAGAATGATTGCCAAGTAGATGCTTCAAGATCTGGTTCCTGTTTAAGGAGATCTATTGGGTTGGCTGACTTGAACGAACCACTTCAGCTTGAAGAAGCAAGTGTTCCAGCATCTGTTGATTTTCTAGGTCGTGCTGCCAGCCATGGAGAGATAAATGGTCTGGATCTGTCTTCTAAACCAAAATCACAGTTAATTTTGAATAACTCCCAACATGGAAACAACAATGGGACTTTGAGCAATATATCTATTGAGAACAAAGGAAACGGGAGAGAGTGGTTCTCCCATATGTATGAAGAAGGTAAGAATTCTCTTGAAATTGCAAAATCTGAGTGTTTTGTTCTAGATAAGCATGTTCTTACCATGAGTGTATTTTCAGCTATTGAACTTCATGTCTAGATTGTCTTTCGATCTCTACGATGATGAGGTTATTGGTAGTTGCATTCTTTGAGCAACTACTTTAGTACGTTTGTTTCTACATATAAAAATTATAAACATATAATAATAAAATATGCTAGTAGAAAAAATTAGATTCTGAAGGTCATATCTGAAGGAAGTTTTTGACTTTCCAAAAATTTCGAGAAAAAATTAAAAAATGTGTAAGAAATATATGTGGGGAAGTGTCATGTACTTCATTCATTACCTTTCAACAAACAAACCACTTATGAGCTATCATGCTACTGATGTTCTTTTTTGGGACTATCAAAACGGGGAACCAATATTTTGCTGTAAAATCTGTTTAATTCTATAATGTAGCAAATAGATCCAAAAAGATTCTTCTACTTTTTTAGGGTTAATGATTTCAATTTGAATGTTTTCTTTATTACAGGCCTCAGTAAAGGCTATCTGAATCCAATCCATCAAGGTCTCCAACCTGATAAGTTGCCTCTACCTACCCAGCCAATGCATATTATGCCTGACAAAGCTTTTCAACCTGCAGGAACTCTTTCTAGTCATTATAGCAGGGGGGATCTGCGGAGAGATGGCACAGTTCATCGTTTAGAAATCTCTGAAAGAAGTTGTGATGTTTCTAATTTTAGCCATCTGGACCCGGCTGTGGCTTCTCCTATACCCGGTCCTTATCAATTTGTTAATTCCTGTGATTTGGCGAATGCTCGGTCTTCCTCTGTCTCATCGTGCAGAAATCCAAGTAGTAGCTTTACCCAGAAGTTAACATCAATTCAAAAACTCCCATCTTTTAACTCGTCTGTGACCTTGAGTAGGAGTTCTCAGTCATCTGCTCAGAGCCATGAGATTTTTGGAAACAAATGGCTACTTAATAGCAGTTCCATGTCAAATCATGGTCTTGGATGTGATCTACCTAACCGGAATGGGTTTTACCATGGATCCTCATCAGGGTCCAAGGAAGTACCAGCTTGCATCCCTTCAGTTGGCTTTGATTATCTAAAGTTTTGTAAGAATGATAATATGGGCTCTGAACGGTCAATTAATTATGGTTCTGGAAGTTTCTTCAAGGGCTCAAATGTTATAGATTTGAATTCTAGGAAAGGCATGAACTTGAATGTGTCCCTTTCAAAAAGTTCATCTAACATGGTGGCTTCCCAGGATGCTCTTGAGATCATAGATGGAGAAGGGAAGCATGAAGACCATCTAGGAGCAGCGTTGCCTTGGCTTAGAGCTAAGCCTGCTTCTAAGAGCGAGACTATCAATATGAGGAGGGATTCAAACTCGGTAGAAATGAGTTTCTTCCAAACTTCTTCTAACCAGTTGTCCATCAAAACTGAAAAAGATAAAGGTCCCAATCAAATTTTTACCCAGAATCTTACATCAGCTTCATGCGACCACAATGTTGGGGCCAATAGGGACGAGATTGGTGACAGCCTTGGAAACAGAAAGATACTTGGGTTTCCTATTTCTGTAAATCCTTGTACTTCTCGGAATGAGTCTTCTTCTCATGGCTCCACCTCGGCATCCCTTCGTAGCCGTCTTCATGGAAATGGAGAAATTGATATAAATGTGGCTTTTGACCTTCTGATTCCTGAGACTAGCAAGCAGAGTTCTGCAGAAATTCTGGTTGAAGACAAGGAAATGGGTACAAAAGTTTCTATTTTCAGAAATCACATTGATTTGAATTTGTCTGCGAGTGTGGATGAAGTTTTTTTAGCACCCTCTGTTGCAAACACCAGTGCTAATGTTAAGCTTGCATTGGAGATAGATCTGGAAGCCCCCGTAGTTCCAGAAATTGAGGAAGATTTTCTCCATGGGGAAGAACAAAAGCAACCTGAGACACCCTTACGCTCGCCACAACATAAAGCTGAAAACCCAGAGCATGAAATTGTCAGGATTGCAGCAGAGGCTATAGTTTCCATCTCATCATCTGCTCATCAGAATCACACAGAGGACACTGCTTGCCACCCATCTGAAGCTTCTTTGGCAGACTCTCTCCTGTGGTTTGTGGACGTAGTTTCTTCTTGTGCAGATGATCTCGAAAACATTCTTGGCAGTGAATCAAGGGGCAAAAATGGTGGAGAAAATGAGCAATCTTCCTCCAATGAGATTGATGACTTTGAGGCCATGACATTGAAACTGACAGAGATCAAGGAAGAAGAGTATATGCCTATGCCTCTGGTTCCCGAAACCAGAGAAGTGGAAGGAACAGGAGTCACTTCTGTAACTAGTCGATCCCAGAAAGGCCAGGCCAGGAGAGGGAGGCAACGGAGAGACTTTCAGAGAGACATTCTTCCAGGCCTTGCTTCTTTGTCAAGGCATGAGGTCACCGAGGATCTTCAGACATTTGGAGGGCTGATGCGAGCTACAGGCCATCCATGGCATTCTGGATCAACGAGAAGGAGTTGCACCAGAAATGGCGGTGGTAGGGGAAGGAGGCGGTCATTGGTTGACTCTACCCCTGCTGTGGCAGCAGGCACAATTTGCACCCCGCTGATGCAGCAGCTTAATAACATTGAAGTGGGACTGGAGGATAGAAGCCTTACAGGGTGGGGGAAGACAACCAGGCGCCCCCGCCGGCAAAGATGCCCCCCAGGTAATCCTTCGTCTGTCCATTTAACATAATTGTGGGAGAGGCTTGCTAATTGAGATTTCATAGCGCAGCGTGGGGAAGTAGAGAACTGCTTTAATGGCTATTGGAGTAAGGTGGTTGTTAGATATGGTGTTTGCTTTTGTACATGCCTTAAATCATAACTTGGGTCCCGGTGGCTGTTTGTCATTTGGTCACCATTGCGCGATTTCTTCCGTGTTTGAGCATTGTTGTTTCAGTCTATGAAGTAATTCTCTCATAATCTGAAGTGCCATGATAATTTGTCTCTAGTGTAGTAGATAGGAGGGACATCATTTTTATCTTAGAGATTGTACAATAGTGAGTTTTTTTTTTCTTTCCCAATTTTCTTCAATAAAATTGTTAAAGATGAAGTTAGTGTATCCAGAAATACTTTGTTTTCCCCAGGAAATGAATGAGAAAATTGGGGTTTTCATCATTAACCTTACATTGGTTAAATGATTAAAGCTTTACCCCATTTCTGGCTGTAAAGCATACTCTTGCCCTCGTGTGCTCTAGTCAGTATAAAATTCTCAAATTCCTTTCTGGAGCATTGTCTTTCTGAGCTAAAACTTGTTCGTGGAAGCGTGATTCTCAGAGCATCTTAACCCTAGACATTGCTGCTGCTGCATTCTATGGTTGTTTGGTTTAATGGGGGTAACCCTGGACATTGCTTCATTCTATAGTTGGCAGCCAAAAACAAGCTTCAAACCATGGACTTGGTGCAAAAAGGAATTACTCAGCAGGATACTTGCCTATTCAACACCTTTTCTTTTCATTGCCAGTATTCTCTGAGAGTTTGTACTGCTCCAGCTTCCAAGGAGGGTTTAATTGGCCAAACAAGTTATCTTTTAGAGGACAAATTATTACATGATTCCGGCTAATCACAAGTTTCACAACCTGACATGCAAGCAAAAATATGAATAAAGCTAACACATTTGCTTACCGCTTGGGGCATGTAAAAATTTCTCCTTTTAGAAGGACCGGAATAATAGAAGGTTCTCCAATGTTTATGTGGATAGGCAATCTGTCTTACTCAAGACTGCAGATGATATTAGGCATAAAATGCTCACTGCTACTAGCTTGGAGGACTCGTTAGTCTTGTATGAGGATTAAAAATGCTTGGGATATTGAATAATTGTTAAAATAAAGAAAAATGATACATCTTTCGAATTCAGAGGATGCCGACCAGGTGTTGCATAAGTGATATGGTGCACACGGTTCCGGTTCCTACAGTTCTTGGCGGAACCAAAATCGGCCCCAACGATTCACAAAAATTGGAACCGGAACTGTTGGGACATGGAATTGGAACTGAACCGAACCGGTTCCACAGTTCTGGTTCCTTGTTTTTTTTTTTTTTTTAAAAATAATGAATCTAAATTCATTCGTAATGTATTTTGATGTATAATATTGTACATGAGAACATACTTTTACTATACATTTCTCTTTGTATGCATCAATAGACATATATATTAGTAATTATATAATTAAAAACATAATATTTATAATTATTTAACGATTCCAAAATTTCAGAACCGAAACCAGAATCGTGAGAACCGGAACCGACACACCGGTTCAATTCCATGGTTTTTTTGTGCACCCCTAACGAGTGAAACCTCATGACATCACCCTAACATCATGTGGTGGGACCTACATTATCATTGCCCTTAAATAATATGTCAATTTTATTTTAATTTAATTTAATTTTTTTTTCAAATTGTATAGATGAAAATGTATATTACAGGTGGGCCTTTGGCCAATACAAACCATATTGCTGGTATCCAAGCCCAAAATATTGGTATTTTGTTTCCTTTATCGGTTCAGTTCTACGTTTTTCCTGTGCATCCCTAGGGAGTGGGACCTCATGACATCACTCTAACATTATGTGATGGGACTCATATTCTACTTACATATTTCATATTCAGCATCAAAGGATGTATCATTGCAATATGTCAATTTTATTTCCTTTTCGCCCCAGGGGCATAGTGGCGTTGGGAGAAATCCGGGAGGCAAGTCCTTGAAATTTCGTTTTCGAACCGTATTTCTAACTTAAATGGTGTCGTTTTCTTTTCTTGGTTAACCCTCCCCCATCACCCCCGTGCAGAAAAATTAAGCAAATTGTATAAATGAAAATGTAAATTAGAGGTGGCCCTTTGGCCAATACAAACCAGATTGCTGGTATCCCTTCAGCTGTGCAATATGTCCTCCTTTCCTCACTAATGGATTTTTGAATTTTTTTTTTTTTTTTTTCCTTGGCAAATTAGGTGGGTCGAATACGGGAACACCCGTTTGAGGAGGTAGGCGCTTTACCAATTAGACCACTGAATTATACCCGATTGTTGAACCTTTGAAGAACCTTAATTCATACATTCTCTTTTAATTTCAAAAGATAAAATGATTTCAATATTATTTGCATTTACCATAATAATCTTAATACAAAGGATTGGGGATAAAAATTGAAAATATTTTTAATTCCAATCATATAATTGGAGAGAGTCCGAGTCAAATTATGGTTTAACATAGCCCAGCTGTAGAGGTAGCCCAGATGTAGAGGGAATTCTGTGTACCTTACACATTGCTAGTGGAACACATTATATGAAAATTTTATTGTTGCTGTATAAATGATGCAAAGTTGGATAAAAATTTAAATTTAAATAGTTCGGTGATCCCAATCAATCAAAAACATGTTATGTCACCAACAAGCGGTATAAAAACAGACACATTTCGTGATAATGGCATGATGAAATGGTTGTGGACCACTTAATAATTTCATGTAAAGTTCTAACATAGCTCATAAGTAATATGAATTGCTGTGTAAAAAATGTAATGTAATATCAGGACAACAAATGATGAAATGACGGAGGGAGAATTCGGTCCATATAGAATCTATCTCTTTCAACAAAATGTAAAATGAAAAATGATTCTTACACCGAATAGTTATACTGAATTGGTAGACCTGTTATCTTCACTTAATTATATTTAATATAAATAATTAATTAAAAATTATTCGATTAGACAATTCAATATAAATATTCAATATAAATATCATTTACTCTTTTAAAATATGTAGATTAGATTAGGGTAAGCTATTGTAGAAGTCATGTATATAGCAAAAGCCCACCAGCAGGCAATAATATAATCACAGAAAAAGAGACTTTTGTGATTGGTGAATTTAGTACTATCTTTATCGTACAGAAATCAACTGAAGACCAACCGACACGGAGGCTTGTAATGTTTAAGTGCCACGTGTACAAAACAAGATCTCACTTTATATAAACGAAAAAACTCCTGTCTCTCTCTTCACTCGGACATTTTCATCTGGAACACTATTATAGAAGTAGACAAGATATAACAGAAAGTCCTATGTTGACTAGTTAACTTTTGGTGGATGAAAATGAATTTACTCATATGACCTTGTTGCACAAAATCGTTGGTTTAAAAAAAAGAATCTGGAAGGGGAGTTGGTATATTTAAGTTACGTGTTTGCCCCTCTTCTTTCTCTTTCTTTCTTCTCTTATACATACATACATATAATACAACAAACACATGCAGAAGCACTTATTTGCCATATTTGATTTTGGGTATCTGTTATAAAAAAATAAAATAAATAAATAAAAAAACACTTAGAAACTATTTGAAACGAATGAGCTAATCAAAAAATTAGTAATCACAACCAAACGTAGTCCCAAACGCACGCCACCGCCTAACATGACTAGTTTGCGATGTGCTTGTATGTGATCCAGTAACAGGCCTTCTCCTTGATGAATAAATTCGATAGAGATGTAATGAGAGACCGAGAGGACAATGACCACATTAATATTCATGGGTGAAGGTGTAATTTTAGTTGACATGAATGGACAATTTGGTCTTCTCAAAACAAGAAGGCTAGTTTTGTCTAGTTTTTTATTTTATTTTAATAGAACAAACTGATTTTAAGCTCAACTCAAAAAATGGAGGTCAATAGGTCAATGTGTATAGTCAATGATTAAGGATAGTTGACCAATAAATGATGAAAATTTAAGGGATGCTTTGTGTAATTTAATCCTTATTCTAAATTAACATTCTCAATTTGATTTTCATAAAATAAAAAAAATACTTATCAATTAATTTAAATTTACTTAATATAGGTGCATAGAGACACTAATTGTGAAAAAAAAAAAATAATAAAAAATAAAAATAAATTTCCATAAAGACAGTCATATCATAAGGCAAAACCATCTCTTGTAATCCGAAGACATTAAATCTGTTTTTGTAAGTAATGATGTTGAAAATCATTACAACACCAAAAAATTCAGGACAGATGATTTTGGCCTCCATGAAGAATATAGTGCTATCTCTTATGGTACTATGAAAATTTGACTCAAAAGTTCAAACCATCCATATGCCCAAACTACCCTTTTTGTGTTCCCAATTTACCCCCACTCAAATCTATATAATATCCTTTCCTATCAAGAGAGTTGGATTCAAACAAACATAAGATATTAAATATGAACAGACCAAACTAACTTCAGACACTAACATATACCTAAATCAGAGACAATCAGACAACTTTAAATGAATCTGAACAAAACTAGTCATACCTAAGAGTTAAATTCTTGGTCATCAGCACATGATTTCTCACATTACTTGGGCTTTCCTTCTCCATTATCATTCTGAAAAAAGAGGGGGGACAGAAAACAGTAGTCAGTATCACAGGTTGGAGAAACATAAATTGTTTTTAAATCGCAAGACATGAAAGAAAAAGAAAAGCAGAACAGTGACAAATATTTCCGATGCCTTTAATTCTCCACACAATCTTACCAATTTCTTCTTGCAGTCGTCCAGAGCTTTCTCATGCTCTGCCCTCTTCTTAGCTGCTGCTATGTCCTAAACACAACACCAAGTTACAGTTACTCATAAAGAAACCGTTTAAGATCGCTGTGACTCATAGAACAGATTTTTCGTTATTTTGTTCACGATTTTGCAATACAATTGGTTTAATTGAATCTTTAGTTAGAGTAAGACAAAAAAAAATACAGAACATTCATAATAAAAAATATTCTAATTTAAAGAACATTCATATCTGTTCGTAAAAGCTTAATTATCACAAATATGTAAAAATAGTTGCATCAATTGATGTGTCTATGACAGGTAAATCAAAGCCTGAAAAGACTCTCGATAGACCTCTTACACGGGTTCATAGTATGAATTTTGATCCCACCTAAAAGCCTCTCTTAGCTTCTAAATTTTAAGATAAGCACAATACATTAAGTATAAGAAAGAGACCTTTGGCTCCACAGCGTCCAAGAGCGTTTCTACCAATTCGCGAATGACTTTATCGCTTTCCAGATTTAAAGGATCGCTTTCTTCAGGCCTAGCCTTCAATCCCTTCAAGAATAACTGCAGAATTTGGTGATACTCATCCAGTTCTGCGGCTTCTGCCTGCAAAATGAATCAGCTACATTTTAAACAAATCAAAATACATCACTAAATTAAAAAATCAGAAAAAAACAAATCACTACCTTCTTATAACCACTTTTATCCCTTTCTTCCAGGAATTCCTCCATTACATCCCTAGATCTTTGCTGCTCAATTATTCCCATGGTTTGAAGGAATAAACCAAACTTCGCACTGTAATTCTCAATTACATCCTTACGTTTGTCAACGATTTCCTTACGTTTTTCAATGATGGATTGATACACTACTGGCAAAATTATACTTGATATTATAATATAGTCCTTGAAGTTCAAAGTTTGTAGGCCAGCAATAAATTTTGTAGAAAATCCTGAAAGGATAAAGATAAAATCGGATAAATTGGCAGTAAGTAACATAACTAATATCAACTTGAAAAGGAAAAAACCAGCAGAAGCCTTGAAACATAAATACAAACGAAAAATAAAATTAACTTACGAATCATTATGGGTCTTTAGAAATACACTGGTAACAAGTAAATTGAGAAGTCCGGCAAGTCCAGTTAGTTCCATCAAATTGCTACTATTTTTTTTGTTCATACTTCTCTGTATAGAAGTTGTATGTTTCTGTTTCAGTACTCTCACTGAAACAGAATTCTTGGACACTAGGAATGTGGCGACCTTGTGGGCGGATGTGTGTGAGCGTGTGCAGGCTACCACACTGGGCGAGTTATAGGTACACAATCCCACATCGTCTGGGTGTGGATGGGGCAAGTGCTATATGTAGATTCAACACCCTTCTATGACACAACCCGTTTTAAAGCCGTGATAGCCGTGAACCCATCAGAACTCTGTAGTTAAGCATTCTTAACTTGGAGTAGTACCAGGATGGGTGACCACCTGGGAAGTCTCTGGTCTGGGTGAGCCAAAAGCGGACACTGTCTGGCCAGGGTGAGGGTCGTTACAAATGGTATCAGAGCCTGACCCAGCCGGAAGTGTGGCCAACGAGGACGTTGGGCCCCAAAGAGGGGGTGATTGTGGCGACCTTGTGGGCAGGTGTGTGTGAGCGTGTGCAGGGGGCACCAGTAGGCTACCACACTGGGCGAGTTACAGGTACACAATCCCACATCGTCTGGGTGTGGATGAGGCAAGTGCTATATGTAAAATCCCACATCGTCTGGGTGTGGATGAGGCAAGTGCTATATGTAGATTCAACACTCTTCTACAACGCATTTTAAAGCCGTGATGGCCGTGAACCCATCAGAACTCTGTAGTTAAGCGTGCTTAACTTGGAGTAGTATCAGGATGGGTGACCCCCTGGGAAGTCTCTGGTTGGGTGAGCCAAAAACGAACAATATTGTGTCTGGCCAGGTGAGGGTCGTTACAAGGAATTCCTCCATTACATCCTAGATCTTTTCTGCTTAATTATTTCCATGGTTTGAAGGAATAAACCAAACTTCGCACTGTAATTCTCAATTACATCCTTACGTTTGTCATCGATTTCCTTACGTTTTTCAATGATGTATTGATAAACTACTGGCAAAATTGCACTCGATATTATAATATAGTCCTTAAAGTCCAAACCAGCAATAAATTTTGCAAAAAATCCTGAAAGGATAAAGATCGGATAAATTAGCAGTACCTAACATAACTAATATCAAATTGAAAAGGAAAAAACCAGCAGAAGCCTTGAAACATAAATACAAACGAAAAATAAAATGAAAAATAAAATTAACTTACGAATCATTACGGGTCTGCAGATATACACCGGTAACAAGTAAATTGAGAATAGCAAGTCCAATTTGTTCCATCAAATTGCTACTATTTTTTTGTTCATACTTCTCTGTATAGAAGTTGTATGTTTCAGTTTCAGTACTCTTACTGAAACAGAATTCTTGGACACTACCCGGGGTGTAAAGAACCTAAAAAAACAGCTATTAGAGATTTAATCTAAAATATATATATATGTATATTACATTAAAACAGATAAGACCACCTCTCTTAAGAAAACCGGATTATATGGTAACTGCACTTTGTTCTTTGGTTCTTCCAAAGAGAAGCTACTGGAAAAACCAGCTGAACCTGCATAAGCCCTCAAGAAAGGGTAACCTTTATAAAGATTACCCGCCCTCTACTTGCTTGGAAAAAGAAAAAAGAAAAGAAATTAGAAAAGAAAATCTCACAAAAAGTACAAATGCAAGAACACATAGATATGAGAGAAGTTATACATAGAATCTCATAAAGTACAAATGTTTCATTCACATGCATAGAACTTTTTAAGGAGACATGTAATTATTGCATTGTCTCCTTTAAAAATTACAAAGTTACCCTTTCAAGTTTAAATACGTGTATAATCAAGTTTGAAATTTTTGAATATTGTAAGGGTATTTTATGGAAAGATGTGAAATATTTTGGGACAACCCAAAAAGGAAAAATTGACAACTGTTATGGGACGGAGGGAGTATTAATTATTTAAATAATACAAATTTTTTATTTTTATTTTTTTTTGTTTGTAAATAGGTGATTAAATGGGTTACACGTGTAACCCATTTAATAAACAGGTCGGGTTAGTATTGAGAATTCCTGACAAGATTATTAAACTGGTCGTGTTCAAGTTGAGCTATTTAGTATAATACTCTTAAATTGATACGACACGATTACGACTCACGAACATGAATTACCACCCCTAAACTTTAACTGTTTTAAAAATCTTGCCAACTATTGCCTTCTTTTTTTTTTCTTTTTTTTTTTTTATCATATTTTATCTGGGTTATTGCTTAAAATATGAATTTTATCATTCATTAAAATTAGTGTTTATATCTTATAGTTAAGAATTATTTAAATGGCAAATTGTAACTAAACTTTAATTTTTTCTTACTTGTTAATAATGAATGTGCAAAAGAATAACACAATTGACCTCATAAATATTTAAATTTTCAATTACTCAAAATAAATTTTAGTTAAATATTTGTAAAAGGAATTATTTTATTTATTTTTATTATTTTACAATTTTTTAATTAAGAATGTAAATTAACTTCTTAATTTTCACCACGTGTATCAAATCTAATATTAATTTTACTAGTATTATACATGTGTATTTATTTTTTTACATCCTTGTTACAGTAACCTAATACTATTAATTTTTACTGATCAACCCTTGCTACATTTGGCCACCACGAATGTGGGCCCATGCACTGTGTGTTCTCGGGTCACTTCTTTGGGACAACTCATCTCAACTTGTCTAGTCAACTAAATTCATCTACTCCATAAGTCAGGGCGGATCCAGGATTTCTCAATGGGGTGGGCTAAATAAAAATATAGTTAAATCTAAGTGTAAAGTTACAAACACACACACACACACACACATATATATATATATATATATATATATATATATATATATATGATATATGAAGTATTATATTAGATTAGTAAAGTAAGTTATAAATATATAATATTAATTATTGTCTCTGTAACTTTGAGTGCATCAGAACTTTCCATTTCATTGTTGTACACTTTCTAGATCCGATGCATGAAACAACCCTATCGTTGGTTCACAGTTGTGGTACACTTTTGTGCCTCCCACCATATATCTTTCTCTCTACAAGTCCATATCTATAGAAGTCTCCCATGCCAATATTAGTCAAGAAGATCAGAGAGCTTATTTTGTCCTAAGTTGGTAATTCTTATTGGTGGACTCTTTCTTCTTTGCTGTTTCAGTTTCAACATTTCAGAAGCTCTGTCAATGCTCAAACTGATAAAGTTAAATTAAAATTGCATAGAGTCTTCTTTTTCTTTTTCACAGATAAAATTAGGGTTTAAAGAGAAGAAAAAGAAGAGATACCAAGTAGATGAATCATATTACACACCATTGTTTCAGAATTTCAGGAACTGAAAAATCGTGTGTGAAGTGACCAAAGATTCTTGTAACTAAAAGAATTAGACACTATGCTCAATAGTATGTCTTTAACTCAAAATTTCCTTCAATTCTAAGTGCTTTGACATAATTTGAGTGTATCAACATATTATCAACATCATCAATCGTCATCACTAGACTCAACGTTGACTTCAAGATTCTCATAACGTTAACATTAACATTCTCATCTAGAATCACATAATCCTCTTGCATAGATATACCTTTGATTCAGATAAACTAAAAAGAGATTTCCAATCATAATTGGTCATTTTAAAACCAACATCATTCCTACAACGGTAAGGGGATTTATATAATTCAATTAGCTAGGCAAAAAAAACATACCTATTTTCTTTTTGCCAACTCCACCCATTCCCATCAACTCTCTTCTTTCAAAAAAGAGACCTATATTATTAGGACAAAAGAGGAAAAGTTTTAAAAGCGTTAATAAACTTGTAAAACATATATTCTGAAATTGAAAACTAAACTTCCAAGTCTTTAATTCCCATTAATAAATTGTTCGAGCATCATATCATAACAATATTATATATATGTATGCAGAAACAAAAACGAAAAATCAGTATGTAAAACATGAATAAATAAACGTAACCAATAGCTAAAAATGTCAATTAAAATTTTAGAAAAAGTAAGAGTTTGTTACCTGATGACTGAGGAGACATGTTTCTTGAACCTTGTTCTTGCTGTTAAGGCCAGATGCTAACCCTAAAAATAAGAAAACTTTTAAGTTGTGAGGAAGAGGTTTCACAATTTCACTTATAACAATTAAAACACTATCATCTAAGTACTATCTGTATCATGTATCAACCCAACCCAACTATGCTTTCAGTCAAAATGTTGGACACCTACCCATGGAAAGAGGTGTGATTACGGATAGGTGTGATTAACACATATTATACTCAACTCTTATGTTAAATTAATCCAATAACAAAGTACAATGCATCAGTTTAGGAATAATCTTTAAAATTAACAAATCAATATCCTGATATTCTGCATTTTAATAACAAAAGAAAATCAAAAACCAAAATTTGAAAATAAAAATATGGCAGAAAGATTGAATAAATCCTTCGTGCATTACACCGATTGCATTTCTATGTGAAACAAAACATCTAGGATTTCTCAATGGGGTGGGCTAAATCAAAATATATCAACCAAAATCAACTGTTGTTTAATTCAATTTTAGTTAACTAACAATGTTTCTTAATACAATTGACTGATTAAGGCATAGAAAATCCTATTTGGGTAATTAATAAAAAAAATTACCAATTTATTTCTGGACAATTCACCACTCAGTACCCTATCTCTTCTTTTGACCAATTTACTAATCCTATTTGAGAATCTACTAGTGGAAGCAGAGTGTGAGGTAGTTCATGGCATGCCCCTTCCAACGCTACGAAATTCACTCAAAAGCTTGCTTTTTGTAAGTATTTTAATTTTGAAGAAGTAACTTTAGAGCTTTACCCTATATTAAGTACTTTTGCTTGTCAAAGTTCTTGTCATGATTTTTCTGTATTTTTTTTAGTTTTGAAAGACATCTATCTTCAAAAAAGCTTGGCATGTTGATAAAAATTGTTTCAGATTCAATCTCTGTAGATTTCAAATCCAATTCAGATTCTTTTCTTTTTTCTTTTTTTTCCCTTTTTTCATGCCCAGATTCAAATTTTCTTGTAGACATAATTGACAAAAAAAAAAACAAAAAACAAAAATAGAAGTTATAGAAAAATAAAAATAAAAATAAAAAATTTGTTTTGCTGAAATAAAATCTAGATTACGGTGATTACCTCAAAATGCAATGCAATGATTACCTCAAAACGCAATGCAAATTTTGTTACTTTATATTGTAAAAAAATTTATATTATATAAAAAAGATCATAAAAAATTTCACCAAATAGGATTTGGTTTGCAAAACAAGAATTACAGACCTTGATTAGTTGATGTAGAAAAAATTTAAAATAAAACCCATACATACAAGTTAGCAGTTGCAGAGAGAGAGGGGAGCAAGCTTGAGAGTTGAGACACAGCGGACCAGCGGCTGAAGCTTGCGAACGGCGAACCCGAACTGGAACAGCGGGCGATGGAAGCTGAAAGATATGGGTTTTGATTTTTTGAACAATCAAAACTACAAAATATGCCGGTTTTGAGTTGTTAATTTTAAGATATGGAAATATAAGCTGAAAGATATGGGCGATGGAAGCTGAAAGATGGAAGCTGAATGATATGCCGATATAGGTTTTGAACTTTTGATTCTTGCAGACAAATAGATAAACTGAAATATATGGGTTTTGAACTTCTGATTCTTGTAGATTTTGTAGTTTGCAGTTGCAGAGAGAGGGGGGGGGGGGGGGGGGGGCAAGTTCAGGCTTTGTTTGGATTGAGGGAATTGGAGAGATTTGGAGAGAAAAGAAAGGGAATGATAGAGTTTAGTGTGTTTGGGTGGAGGGAATTGAGAAGAAAAGAAATGATTTGGAAGGATTTGGAGGGATAGGCTATCCCTCCAAATCCCTTCAGCACAGTAAAAACAAATCCTCTCAAAGTTGAGAAGATTTGAGAGGATTTGAGGGGAAAGGATGACAAAGACAGAATTAGCCTTCCAATTTCTATATACAATTTAGGGCAGCAGCTTCTCAGTCCTCTTCTCTCGCATCTGCAAAGCGCCGCTCCTCTTCTCTTGCTTCTCCAACAAAAACTCACCTGCTTTCTCTCATCAAGGTATTAACCTCTTCTCTTGCGTCTCCAACAAAAACTCACCTGCACTCTCATGGGATCATACATCGTGATCTGAAACCTGGTAATTCCTTCATTTCCAATGTTGGTACATTGAATTCATGCGGTATAAAAATGTTATGCATGAGAAATCAGATTCATGGAAATGTCTTATTCTCAAGCAAGTAAACTTGTATGAACATTCATGTTGAAAGATATCAGCTATGATTTTTTTTTTTTTTAAAGAATTCAAACACGCTAGTTTGTAGCTTTGCATGATGGAATCTATGTAGTTACTGAATAATTGATATAATACCCAATTTATAAAATAGTACGAGGAAAAAGAGTCAAATGCTAGAAAAGGCCTTTGGATTCAATTTCGATATTTTGAAACTGGAAGATCCATCAGTTCACACTTCCAGATCATTGGAGAGTTTCTGAAGTACTTCATTGAAATCACTTCCAATCATTGCTTTTGCTCCCTGTTAAAAGTTCATAGATGCATTTTTGTAGGTCTCTGCTGACTTGAGTCATGTTTATGAATCGTTTATATAAAGGCTCTAGAGAGATCAGAGTATGACTAAAGTATGAAATAAAGTAGCAAATGTATATTCATAGCTTTGGTGATTTATTTCTATTAATAGTGCTTTCTTTGTATCCAATGCTTAGTAGTTATGCACCGATTCTTGGCATGTAAAAGGTGAAAGTTTCAGAGACTTATGTGTGTATTTTGTTTTGTGGTAATGACTTCGTTCTAAAAATTCCGATATTATAGGAAGGACAGATTTAAACACATCTCATGGTTCTGGCAAATTGAACACTATTACAGGTACTTGGGAGCATAGGTACTTGGGAGCATATCGATCTGATGAATAAAATTAATATGGTCATATATCTACTGGAACTATTTTCTTTCTAGGTTAAGTCTAAGGGATTGCAAGTTCTAACTTGATCTATGAACAAATTTGTTGATGTTGTTACCATGAGGTGTAGGTAGTCGTCTCAATTACCAAAAAGAGAGTGTGGGATGTGCCGTTGAATATTCCTTTTATAATCTTTAAACGTACATATGTTTATCTAAATAAATAAGTAAATGGAAACAATTGCTAATGAAGAACTTATAAACTACTGCAGAAAACTTAATCTTGATTGCAGACCAGAAAACAGTAAAACTTGTGGATTTTGGTTTAGCAAGAGAGGAGTCATTAACAGAAATGATGACTGCTGAAACAGGGACATATATCTATATATATATATATATATATATGCTATGCAAACATATCAAGTGATTTTGATGCTTCCAATTCAGTGTATTTGGCTCTACTTTTTTATCCAACCAGTGAATTTCATTGTTGTAATGTAATAGAATTGTTTTTGTTCTGCAGCTGAAATAGGCCAGGACAGTTCTCTGCCTAACGGCATTGGTGACGCAATCTGTGAAACCCCACAGAACAAGCTTCTTCAAGTGGTGTTAGTTTCTCCTCAGGTATTACATTAACTCATAGTGACACATATTATAGAGATTGAACTTCTTTAAGGCTAGATGTTTAAGTATGGGGTACTACCTGTTACAGATTTTATAATTGATTTGTTAGTTTTTTCCCGCTTCTCCATCTTTTTGTAGTATTTTGATACTTTGTCGTCATGATTCTCATCTCAATTCAAAATTTGAACAGTTACTGAATCCATTTATTTAATTGTTTCCCCATATTTTCATGTTATGCTCCAATAGGGGATGCAAAGGTACACAGTAGAAACATATACATACGCTAACTCGCTGCATAGAATTTAAGTTTTGATGCATCCCATACTTTGTTGATATTTATTGATTTAGTAATTTTTAGTTGCATCACATCAGATATGTGATACCAACTCCATTAACTACGGGTACATTTATCTCCAAATGCCTCTCTTTTTTCCCCCAGCTCAATGTTGTCAACGTTGTAAAATCTGAAAGAATTTGGAACTATACATGTTGATGCCAGACAAGGGTTTAGTTTACAGCCAAAGGTCTTTTACTGTAGCATCTGTCAGGAATCTATTTCTCACTGATTTTGCAAATCTGGCAGACTGGAGATTCTTCATTTAGTTAATTCTGCTTACAAAATTCCCTTGCTTCATTGGTGCTCAATGTTTGCCCTATCTCAAGTTACAGGCAAGAGTTCTGAGGCACTCTTGTAATAGAATTAACAAATCTGCTACCCCATATTGTGTCGTAGTGGATATATAAGGTTCTTCTACAAGAGTTCTGAGTTCTGAGGCACTCAGTGTCTGCATTTTTTGCATTTAGAAGCCAAATAAGCACTAAGATGTGTTGTTGTGTTCCATGTATATTGTGATCAACCACTCAGAGTCAGATACTTCTTTACTACATGAGCATCTATCCGTTAGGAAGTTTAAGGATAATAAATGTAGCATGTAAAAGGATATACAAAATATGTATTATGCTAATTGGGAAACAAGTCAAGTTGAGGGCCATCAATCAAGTATGGAGAGGTCTTTCCTTGTTAAATTGCAAATATGTGATTTCTAATAGCATCATATTCGATATTGATTTGTGGTTTATATGCAAATACTCATGCCATACGACCCATACCTCTGCTTATTGCATCCTGAATTTGTTAGTGATATTTGGTTTTCTTCTTACCTTTTATTGCTTGTAACACATCTTTAAGTCGTTTAATGAAATTTCCACCCTATGAATCTCCAATAAATTTTTAACCTTCATGAACTTACGCTCGACTTAATTTTATTATATCAAGGCCTAGAGAAGAACAACAGTTTTTTTTTTTTTTTTTTTTTTTTTTTTTTTTTTTTTTTTTTTTTTTTTTGGGTATGTAGAGTAGCTGAGTGGATAAATATCGACTTATGTTTGTTCCTTGTTTACAGTAATGTTTCATGATGAGACTTAATTTTTTTTTATATATTTATTTTTTTCCCGTTTTACTTGAATCATTCTGATGTGAATTATAATAGAACTGAAAGTTGATTTTTCAACCTATAAGTTAGAGAAAATATTTCATGTGAATGTCACAAAGCTGTGAATGTGTGATGTTCAAGCTTGTAAGTCCTATGCAAGGAGCTAGAGATACCACATACTGACAGTGATTTCTTCAAAAAATAGAAGTACAATAACTAAGCAGCATACATAGAGGAATGCATATTTTAGGCAGCAAACAAATCTCATTAAATGAACTTGAGGAAATTCAAGCTCTTGAGTTCAGCACTTAATTAACTTGATGGTTTAAAATTTTTAGATGTTTTTAGTGCATTAAATGAACTCTATTTTCTTTCTTTATCCTTGTTCTTAAAACTGAGGTTATATACATGTGATATTTTCATATCTTAACTTATACCTAAATCTAACAACTATAATGGGGAAAATGACATCTCTCTCTAGGTTAAACATAGTCTTAAAGACAAGAATTCAAATCCCACAAGTAACTTAGGAATGTGAAGCCACAATGACATTAGTTTGAGTCAGTTATCTTTCAAACAACTTTGATAGAGTTAGTTCACTGATGACATCAATTAATAATTACAAAAATAGGCAATGGAATATAGAAAATGCTTTATATTATTAATTTAACATCTATATTATATGGTGACATGCAGTCGGTAATTTTTTTTTTATACAAAACCGCTTCTAGTTTGAAGACCAAAAGCTAAAAGTAATCAATTCAGAATAAATAATTGTTATGAGATTCATATGAAGAAACGAAAGTGTAGTCCATAGTGAAAATAACAAAATATTTGCGTCATAATTAAGCATGAAGGATTTATCTGTATATGCATCTATTTGATTGATAAACATCTATTTGATTGATAAATATTAGGATCTTGGGTTATTGTATTTGCAAGAGTTAAAGAAGAATGTTGAGACTGACTTGTTTTGGCTAGATCAGATGTGATTGGTGGCTATTGACTATTATTCTATTCTTGTTATTTTTAACGGGAGAGTACACTATAATACCAAGGAGGGCTTCATGACTCAAAAAGCAATACCCATATTCTCTTTCACTTGTAATTTTGTATACTCTGGTCTGTTTATTTTTTCTTCTTTTCCTTTTTTCTTTTTCTTTTTCTTTTTTCAAAATTGTGCATTAATTTGATGCATTATTTTCATACAAAAAGTAACAGTACTACATTTTTTTCTGGTTATTAATATATCATTTTGCATTTTACAATTTTAGATGGACAAACAACAAAATGGCATACTGTGTTTCCATCTTATGTGGGTACAAAGACGACGCCAAATTGCAACTCTAGTCATTCTCCTTGCTGTGTATTGGTTTAAGCGTAAAAAACGTAGAAACTATGTAGATAAACCTATTACACAATCAGAGATTGAAAGACAAATAACACGGGATAAACTAATGAACGAGCTTAGGGTAAGTGAGAAATGTCGTAACATTACTCGTATGGGACCAGAAGCTTTTCAAAATTTCTGTGAGATGCTTATAAGAGATGGTGGTCTTCGACCCATAAAACGTGCAAGTGTTGAAGAACAAGTTGCTAAATTTCTGCACATTATATCACATAATGTGAGGAATCGGACAGTGTCATTTTTCTTTTGTCGCTCTGGTGAAACCATAAGCCGTCATTTTCATAGTGTGTTAAAAGCAGTAATCTCATTGGAAGGACAGTTCCTCAAGCAACCTAGTGGATTGGACGTCCCCCCAGAAATACTCAATAACGATAGGTTTCATCCATATTTCAAGGTGAACATGATTAGTACTTAACTTAATACTTCAATTTTAACGATTTTATAAACTATTACATAAAATTTTTATTATAATGATTTTATCTCAGAATTGCATTGGGGCAATTGATGGAACACACGTTCGTGTGAAAGTATCTAACGAAGATGCACCCAGATATCGTGGTAGGAAAAATTATCCAACAGTAAATGTGTTAGCAGCTTGTTCATTTGACATGAAATTTACCTATGTTTTACCTGGATGGGAGGGTACCACTTCAGACTCAAGAGTTATGGCTAGTGCACTAAAAAGACAAGGAGATAAATTAATACTTCCGGAAGGTAATTTTTGTTATCATTAACTAAATCTTTAAGATATTTTTTTTTAATACGAAGCAAATATTAATTACTATTATTCTTAATAGGAAAATTTTATCTTGCTGACGCCGGGTACCCATTAAAGGCTGGACTTATCATGCCTTATAAAGGTGTGCGCTATCATTTAAAAGAATATGCCTCACGCCGACCAGAGAATCCTAGAGAGTTATTCAACCTTCGACATGCATCATTGCGTAATGTTATTGAGAGAATTTTTGGTGTGTTGAAGAAACGATTTCCTATCATAGGAAGCAGTACTGAACCAACATATGATGTTAAAACTCAAGTTGATATCATTTTAGCTTGTTGCATCATACACAATTATTTAATGGGTATGGATCTGGATGAAAGCCTTTTTAATGAAGTAGATCGGGAGCTCTTAAATGAAACTCCACATAAAGAGCATGGTCTAATGGAAAAAAGTGAAGATCATAGTTTGGGAGAACACTTGAGAGATTCAATAACTTCTCACATGTGGCATGACTATGTAGCTAATCATGTGTGATACTTGAAATGTTTTATTTGGTTGCAATAACTTAAAACTTATTTGCTAATGTTTAATTTTTCTGTAACTTATTTTATGTCAGAGTGCTTCATTTGGAGATGTAGAATGCTAATTATAGCTTGTTATAAACTCCTACCTTGCATATAGTTTTTGTTTACCTTTAGTTAAATGATTTATTTTTTCCTTCATTTCTTTCTATTGTATTTGTTTTTATGTAGATATAAGAATGGGTAATCAATTAAACATAAGTGGTGGGTCGAAGAGAGATAGATGTGTTTGGACTGCACAGATGGATGATATTTTTGTAGATGCATTGCACAATCAATTTGTGAAGGGGAATATGATTGATGGTACATTTACAACAAAAGCTTACAGTGAGATTGTTGATGAATTGAAAGAAAGATTAGGTATCGATATCAACAAAGATAAAGTGAAGAATCGATTGAAAACAATAAAGAAAACATTTAACGAGTGTTTTGACTTATTCAAAACTGGTTTGAGTGGGTTTGCTTGGAGTGAAGCAACAAAAATGTGGTATGCTGAACCTGAAGTTTAGGCTTCTTTAATTAAGGTTAGTTATTTAATTGAGATTATTTATTTATTTAGTTAATTATTTTTTCTTTTAATAGTTACATTTTATTCTGCCTTTGTTTTAGCTTGAAATAATGATAATGTAGTTTTTTTTATGTTTCGCCAACAGTCAAATCCAGCAGCGGTGAAATGGAAAACTACTCCAATTTGCAACTATGATAAGTTGCTAGATTTATTTGGCAAGGATAGGGCAACTGGGTCTAATGCAGCCACTGCTAAGGAGAGGATTAATGATTAGGCAACAAAAGGAAAAGAGAAGAGTAATGAAAGGGAGTCAAGTCCTAATGATGATCTAATGGAGAACATTGATGCTATTGATCACATGGTGTCCCGGAATGAAGTAAGTTTGGATAATTCATTTTTTATGGATCATGAGTTTGAGAATATGAATATGATGTCTCCTGAAACACCTTCAAGTGCACCTTCCCATTCCACTTCTTCAAAAGGAAAGAGAAAAAGGAATTATTCGACTGTTGATGGAGATAATGAAATAATTGAAATAGTGAGAGGTGTGGCTGCTTCTCTAAAAGAGGGAAATGATATTCACAAAACATTCAACCATATTTATGAGAAGTGCAACCAAAAGGGAAAATATGAAGAAGAACTCTTTAAGATTTTGGCAGAAATTGGATTAGAGGGGCATGCAGTTGTTAAGGCCTTTATTTTTCTGACTAAGCGTGACCATCCTGAGAGAATGACACAATTTATTGGTTGCCCACCTGTGCTTCGCAAGATACTCCTGGAGGAACTGATGTCCAATGATTCTTGACGTTGATAATGGTTTTGGTTATACTAACTTTTGATAATGTCTTTTAAGTTGGCAATATTTTGGAACAATTAGTAGAACTTGGTATTATGTCTAAGTTTAATTATGTATTTTTTTGTATCTATTTTATTTTATTTTATTTTTTTGTTATGGAGCTTTTGGTATATAAACTCTATAGAACTTCGTATGGTGTGTTGAAGATGGCATATGTTTTTTTTTAAGGTCTTGATGAATTCCTGAGTAGGCGTGTGACTGTAGAAACAAAAAACTATAATGGATTAAAGTCTGTGTACTATGTTATACTAGGCGTGTGAATGTAGCTTGGATGTGAATTGAGGCTATATTGTGTTCAATTGAGAAGTGATTTGTTGTGTCATTTTGTTATAATTTTACTTTTTGTGAATTGAGCCTATTCTGTCTTCAATTGAGAAGTGTTTGAGAAGTGATTTTTTACTTATATATATTACTTCTTGTTTTAAAAAAATTTGTTTACCTATGTAAGGGACAAGCAAATATTGATCTAAACACAGGGAATCAGGGGTGTGGCTACATATTTGTGGTGTTACAGGTATAGAAGAACCATATATATGTAGCACTCTTTTATCCAAGTTAAGAAGCATGTGATACATAATTGAACAATGTATTGCATATCTTACGTGTAGACATTGATTTATAGTAAAATTGTCTATTAATAAAGAATGTACTAACTTTTAGTTGGTATTAATTATTTAGTATTATTTTAATTATCCAAAAAAAAAAAAAAAAACCCTAAAGTTTATGAAGAGATGAGAAAATGTGGTATAAAAATCTTACACCCATATCTATCTATCTTCAAAGTATGCTATCAAGTTATATGTATATTATCAAGTTACTTATTAAAAAAAAAAAAACAACACTAGTATGCTATCAAGTTATCTTGTTTTTTTTAGTTATTATTAATTTTAGTTTCCAATGAAACTGAGGGAGAGAAAAAAAAAATCAGTATGCTATCAAGTTATGAATGATTATTTATCAAAATATATAAAAGGGTAATATAGTAATTTCATTATTATCCTTTCCTTTCTTTTCTCTCATCTGTTTTATCCAAACAAGCATATTATGTTTTCCTTTCTTTTCTCTCCTATTTATCCAAACATTATAGCTATCCTTTCCTTTCTTTTCCTTTCTTTTCTTTTCTCTTCTAATCCTTTCTTTTCTTTTCTCTCCTCCGTATCCAAACGAAGCCTCAGAGTCGAGATCGAGAATATAGATGGAGGCGATTAGGGAGGCTGAAATGATTTGCCCTAAAAATACAGTATTTTGTTTTTTTTTGGTGACCCATCATCCATGGGCCTATAAATTTTAAGGGCGCCGACCCTGGGCTTTTTTTGGCTTGGCCTTTATTTTATTATGGTGGCTGAGTTAACTTGGACCTGATTGGGTGGACGAATTCTATTAATAATTTCTTTTTTTTGGCTGGATTAAAATTTGTACAGTATTTATTTATTTTTTTATTTTTTGAAGTGGGCTCAAGCCCACCAGAACCCACCCCTACATCTGCCCTTGTCCGTAAGTATTTTTATGGAATACATGTATATGTATGTATGTATATATATATATTTGTGCATTATTACATCATTTATACAACAAATTAATGTGGTAATTTTTCCATGTAAATATCATCCGTATCGTTCTTGGAGATTAATATTGAAATATATATTCTATATATATATATAATATATTATAGGGTGAACTACATTAAACCCCCCTTTCTATCTATGCTTTTCACTAAATCCTCCTTTTCTATTTTTTTTTGTCAAAAAACCCTCCTCAACTATTAGAGAGGGGTGATTTAACTAACTCCCGTTAACTAACTATTAAAGGGGGTGATTTAATTCTCAAATATATATATATAGCAAATAAATTTCAAGAAAAAAAAAACCTAGATTTATATTGACAAAAAAAAAATAAAAAATTAGACATTATTTCTGGTAGTGTCCCTTTAATAAATCTATATAAAATGAAAATCAATAAAAACCAAATAAATGAATGCACAATATAATTCTCAAATATATATATATATATATATATATGTATATATATATAGCAAATAAATTTCAAGAAAAAAAACCTAGATTTATATTGGAAAAAAACACATTGCAACACATGTATTCTTCTTCTTATTCAACTTCTTTTATTTACCCATCATTATAATATTATATATAATTTGTATCATAATATAATGGTATATATAATATGTATGCTTAAATATTATTTAAATATATTTTCATTTCCATCTAGGCTTCAGACCAATATAAATCTAAGGTATTTTTATTTTTATTTATTTATTTAGGAAAAAAATCTAGTTTTTTTTTTTTTTTCTTGAAATTTTTTTTGCTATATATATATTTGAGAATTATATTGTGCATTCATTTATTTGGTTTTTATTGATTTTCATTTTATATAGATTTATTAAATGGACACCACCAGAAATAATGTCTATTTTTTTTTTTTTTTTTTTTTGCCAATATAAATCTAAGGTTTTTTTTTTTTTTTTTTCTTGAAATTTATTTGCTATGTATATATATATATATATATATATATGTATATGAGAATTAAATCACCCCCCTCTAATAGTTAGTTAACGGAATTTAGTTAAATCACCCCCCTCTAATAGTTGAGGGGGGTTTTTTGACAAAAAAAAATAGAAAAGGGGGGTTGTGACATCTTGGGTTTTTATTAGGTTCTTTATATTCTCAAGTAAATCATTTTTTCTTTGCAATTATTTTTTTGTCTCTTGCTGCCACATGAATTTATTTATTTTTTATCCTTAATATTTAAAATGCATCAAGATTTATTTTCCTATTCTTTGTGAGTTAAGTTGTTTTTATCTCTATTATGCTGAAACTATTTTTTTTTCTCCATAGTGGTGTTGTATTATTTTCCTTGTTTTAGGTAGAAGGGTGGGCCAAAGACGCAATTAGTTAGCTAAGTTATGCGGGTTCACTATTAGAGGAAATTGTGGGGAAGTATTGCTGTTCCTCTGTATTTAAATTAGATGGTAGGGAAAACTTGCAGTTTACACAAGATTTATATATTAGTGGGAAACACCTTTCATTATTCCTAGCATCCTAAGGACACGTTTGTATTCTAAGATTGACACCAAGACACCAAGCTTAGGCCCTTCCACATATTTTCTCTACATGTAAGAGTATCTAAAAGTAACTAACAGAAAGGGGAAAGAAGAAGATCGAGTAAGGAAAAGAGGAAGAAAAAGGGAGGTCGAGGAGGGCTGGGGAGTTGTTTATTCATCTATGTAATTGGTAGGGATTCTCTAATTTTGCTGATTTGGGAGATTTTCATTTTTTAAAATTTCTTTGATAGTCCTATATGTTATATTGAAATTTCTTTCTCTGTAAGCTCATGAAATATTTTTCTCTAGTTGTGATACTTAGATTTTTGAATGTCATGTTTTCTAATATGTGTAGGTTCTGATTTTTCCCCTTTGAAAGATTGAGACAGGCATTGTTTATATCATGTTAAAAACTGATTTTTTCTTTAATTATTTGAAAATAAGGGTACTTCCAGTTAAGGTTTTATGAAATCCCTTTAGGCATATTGTGTTAAAGTGAGATGTTTACTGGTTTGTGCACAAGAAACAAATTTAGTAGACTTCCTTCAAGTTTGAACTTCTAAGTTGGTATAATAGACATCATGAGAATAGATTTTCTTGGGTGAATTGAGACTGGGTGCGTGAAGTCTCGGAAGGGAAAAGAGGGTACGAGCTACCCTAGGGTGAAAGTCCCAAAACCTACAGTGGTAGACCCTTGTTTGGGTATTTGGGAGATGTTTACACACTGATCGGTGTGGGAGTGACAGTGTGGGACACTCTGGGATGAGTTGAAGGTGTTCGATGAATTGTACCAAAGAAAAGAAAATGTTTTTTTTTTTAACAAATTTCCTGAATATTTTGTTTAGCTCACTATGAGTTTTGTCTGTTCTTTTGTATGAAAATATAAAAATTCTGATATATATAACATAGTCTATAATTAAAAGAACAAAACCTCATTGAGGCATCATTATAATTTTCCTACTGGGCATTGTCTCACTCCTAACAATTTTCAGGTACCGTCAACCGAGATGGTGGACGTGGGGATGCTAATTGTGGTCCATGACTTGCTTTTGCACTGGGATATATTTTTGGATTGAAGCCTATGGTTCTTAATGAAATTAAGCTGATAGCATGATCAGTTTTATTTTGGCTTTTATTATAGTAGTTATAGTATGACTCCTGTAGCAGGTTATAGAATTGTCACTCTTTGTGCTGGTTCGAAATGTTAGCATGCTCTTCTATTGTATATATTTGGTTTTGATGTTGTATATAGTTGGCTTAAGGTGTAAAGCATGCTATGGTGTTAATGTATGGGTTTAGTCTATTTCAGGGTATTAGTTGTACCCTCTTTTATGTGTATACCAATGTAGTTTTTGTGAATTGACTAAGTTTCTACCCATCTGTATAAAGACCTTGGTGTGTAAATGTATCTATTTCTATGTAAATGGATATCTAGAGACTTCTTGCTTATGTTCCTTGTGGGGTTGAATGATGGAATTGATGATAGGGAATCGGAAATTGTTTTGTTGTAGGAAATTCACTTTTCTTTCAATTTTGCTGAAATTCAAAAAAATTTCTAAGGAGCTGTATTGATGCAAATGCTTTCAAATTTTTACCACAACTTCCTTTATGCATCTAGTATTTCTCCATAAAATTTTGTAATTTTTGGATCAACAGATATTTTTCTAAAAATTTGAGAGTACAGCTGTCCGAATTTTACATCTACTAGAAATCAGATTTTACTTGAATTATTTGACCAACTTTTTGAGATCAGATCTTTATAAAAATTTCCAGTTTTATACTTCCCTAAGTCTACTTTCTAAAAATTAATTTATTGGAATTTTCATAGCGCCGGATATTTTCAAATGAATGAAGGTTTCCGAAACACTTTATTTTTCAGCTCATTCTTAGACAGTCATTTTCCTTCCAAAAACTGATTTTATCTGCAAAGCTTAAGTTGCTGGGAATTATAGCGTCACATTACCCTTTGAGTCTAGTTTTCAAATCATTTTCGTTTGCTCCGTTTCGATTTAAAAATGAATTTGCTACGGATTTTTGAGTAATATTTCTTAGTTTTTTTTTCCAATTATAATGAGCTGTCTATTATTTTTTTTTCGAACCATGCTTTATCATGCCCTATGGTTTTGGGGCGTGACAAGTTTGGTATCAGAGCCTAGGCTGTAGTTCCTATGGAGAATTTTGTGATGTTTGACTGTTGATGTTATGAACAAGTTGCATTGTACCATGCTATGCGATAAATGATCGTAACTTGTTGATTATGTGCTCTAAAGTGTTAAATGTGTGCCCTTTTAATTGCATAAATTCCTATGCTATAAAGTTAGATGGTATGTGATGAGTGACTTTAAATTGTAACATTATGTCAAAAAAAAAAAAAAAATTATGCACATATGCTTATGCTATAGATGTTGTATGCAATATGATTAACTTGATTTTTAAGTGTGTTTTCTAGTTCATGATGTCTAGAGAAGCTGCCAGTGCTAATTCAAATGAACAGCTTACAAATGATGAGAGGCTTGCAAGGGTGTTCCAAGCCTTAGAAGATCTCACTGGGCTAATGGGACGGCAAGTCCAAATGAACCAGGCTCCCAATCCAGTTAGGGAGTTGACAATAGCTGAACAGAAGATAAAGTGTCTTGCGGAGTTTCGGAGGCTCAAACCTCCAAATTTTAGAGGAAATAAGGGTCAGGTTGTATGTGAAGCTGAGAAATGGCTTAAAGAAATCAAAAAGCTTTTTGAGGTGACATCCATGCCTGAAGAATTCAAAGAAGCCATTGCCTCATCACTCTTATTTGATGAGGCCGATCACTGGTGGGACACCGTAAAGATTAGACATGATTTTGAAAGCATGACTTGGACAACCTTTGAAGAACTCTTTTATGCCCAATATTTTCGAGATGTGGTTCGTGAAGCCAAGCTACAGGAATTTCTTCATCTCACTCAACGTAATATGACGGTTGCTGAATATGATGCTAAGTTTATGGAATTAAGTCGGTTTAGGAAGTGCTTGATAGCTATGGAGGAGATGAAAGCCTCAAAGTTTGAGAGGGGACTCCGACCCACCATCCGAGAAAAATTAGTGGCTCTACGCATCCGGCAGTATTCTGACATGGTAGACAGTGCCATGAGTGTGGACCGTGAAAGAGAGGATTTTCAGAAAATTCAAGAAAGGTCTCGGGGTTCGCATAAAAATCAGCATCGTTGTCCTTCCAACAACAAAAGACAAAAAGGTGGACAAGATTCAAGTGGGGGCAGTTTTGAAGGCAACTTCAATAAAGCTCTTGATGAATATTTTTATTGTGGAAAAAATGGGCATTTCAAACGGAACTATCCATCTCTACTTTCAGCCCCAAGAAATGATCAAGCTCAGTCTTAAGTTCCTAGTCATTCTCAAATGTCTCAACAATCACAGCCACACTCGAGGTACTCTTATCCTGCACCGGCAACAACCACAAATCAGCCTCGCTCAACTTACAAAGGAAAAATGCGGACCAAGCTTCTAAGCCACATGGAAGGGTATTTTGTATCAGTCCAAATGAAGCCGAAGGGCAAGCTAGCAATGCGGTTGTTGAAGGTACTGTTATGATTTTCCACACCTAGGCTCGTATATTGTTTGACACTGGTTCATCCCATTCCTTCATTTCTGAATCTTTTGCATTATCTTTGGGGCTAGAGGTTGTTCCTTTAGATTTTCCACTTGAACTTGTTACTCCGGTAGGGGAACTTACCAAGAGCATTTTAGTTTGCTAGTCTTGTACTGTTTCCATTGCGGGTTGCTCTTTGGTTCATGACTTGATCTTGCTTGACATGAATGAGTTTGACGTCATACTCGGAATGGACTGGTTATCCTCTCACCGAGCTATAGTGGATTGTTATTATAAAAGGGTAACCTTCTAAGAAGAAAATGAAATTACCTTCTGTTTTCGAGGAGACATGCACATCCTTCCACCATTGTCTTCTTCCAAAATGTTCATGCTAAAAGGAAGGAGCCGAAATTTCCTTCGCCTTCTAGGTTCCATTTGTGGGAAGCCGAGTTTTTTGGCACAATCTGTTCCAACAGTTGTGGTAAGTGAATTTGAAGACGTTTTTCCATCCAATTTGCCTGGATTACCACCCAAGCGAGAAGTAGACTTCTCCATTGAGTTGTACCCTGGAACTGCTCCAATTTCCGCTTCTCCTTACTGAATGGCACCAGCTGAGCTTTAAGAACTCAAGAAGCAAATACAAGAACTCCAAGAGAAAGGGTTTATTCGGCTTAGCTCTTCACCTTGGGGTGTTCCGGTTCTTTTTGCCAAAAAGCACGACAGTTCTTTACTGCCTTGTATCAACTACCGAAAGCTCAATCGGGTAACAATAAAGAACAAGTACCCGTTGCCACGAATAGATGAATTATTTGATTAACTTCAGGGCTCTAGTTTCTTCTAAAAAATTGATCTACGATTTGGGTACCACCAGCTGCGAGTAAGAGAAGAAGACATACAGAAAACAACATTTCGAACTCGATACAGCCACTTTGAGTTTCTTATCATGCCCTTTGGATTGACCAATGTCCTAGCAGCATTCATGGGTTTAATGAACCGCATCTTCCAACCATATTTAAATCGATTCATCATTGTTTTTATAGATGACATATTGATTTATTCCAAAAACCAAGAAGAGCACAAAAAGCACTTGAGAGTGGTTTTCCAACTTATTCGGGAAAATCAGTTGTATGCTAAGCGAGAAAAATGCGAATTCTGGATGATAGAAGTAAAATTTTTGGGCCATGTAGTGTCCAAAAATGGCATCTCAGTAGATCCATCCAAAGTTGAGGTTGTTTTAAGTTGGGAAAGGCCAAAGAATGTTACAGAAATTCGAAGCTTCCTCAGACTAGCAGGGTATTACCATCGTTTTGTAGATAATTTCTCCCGAATTGCAATGCCATTAACACAACTGACAAGAAAAGGGGTCAAGTATGAGTGGACTGAAAAATGTGAAACAACATTCCGAGAGCTATAACGCAGGTTGACAACAACACCCGTTCTCGTCATCCCCAACGGTGAAGACAAGTATGTTGTCTACAACGACGCTTCTTCAATCGGCCTTAGGTGTGTTCTCATGCAACAAGGCAGAGTTGTGGCTTATGGTTCATGCCAACTAAAGCCACATGAGCAACATTATTCGACCCACGACTTAGAATTGGCTGCGGTCATTTTCGCACTCAAGTTGTGGCGATGTTATCTTTACGGCTCCAAATTTGAGGTGTACTCCAATCACAAAAGCTTGAAGTACTTGTTCACCCAAAAAGAATTGAACAACTGACAAATAGGATGGCTGGAGTATCTTGAAGATTACGACTTCACGCTTTATTACCATCCAGGAAAGGCCAATGTGGTTGCTGATGCTCTAAGCCAAAAACGCCAAGCTATAACATACAATTGTGCCATCCAAGCGTGGAGGACATACAACATTTTAGAAGAGTGCAATCTGCAATTAAGCGAAATAAATGAGAAAGCTTATGCATTTGCTTTGGTAGCTTGACCCACACTACTTCAACATGTCATTGAGGCACAACGATAAGATGTGCAAGAATGGTCTTTGTTCACAGATGGAGGTCTACGTTTCAAGCAACGTCTCGTGGTACCAAATGAGCCTAACATTAGAAAAGAAGTCCTAGATGAAGCCCATCGCTCGAAATTCACGATTCACCCAGGAAGCACAAAAATGTATCGAGATTTGCGTTGACATTTAAGATGGAAAGGCATGAAGACTGATGTGGCAGAATATATGGCTAAGTGCCTAACTTGTCAACAAATTAAAGCGGAGCATCAACGACCTGCCGGCCTACTTCAACCACTTCCCGTTGCTAGGTGGAAATGGGACTGTATCACCATGGACTTTGTGACCGGACTGCCAAAGACTCGAGGTGGCTTTGACTCAATATAGGTCATTGTGGATAGACTTACCAAATCAGCCCATTTTCTTCTAGTCCATGCCACGGATTCATTTGAAGCTTTTAGTAAGCTTTACGACCAGAAGATTGTGTGTCTCCATGGCATTCCCTTGTCCATTGTATCCGACCGTGATCCCCGTTTCACCTCCAAATTTTGGAAGGGATTGTAAAATGCTATGGGCATAAAATTAGACCTTAGCACCGCTTTTCATCCTCAAACCGATGGGCAATCGGAGAGAGTTATTCAAATCCTTGAGGATATGTTAAGAGCGTGTTCTTTGGACTTCAAGGGCAGCTAGAGTGAGCACTTACCATTAGTGGAATTCGCCTACAACAATAGCTATTAGTCAAGCATTGGTATGGCCCCATACGAGGCACTTTATAGTAGGCCTTGCTGCTCTCCTTTATGTTGGGCTGAAAAGGAAGAAGTTCTCCTTGTGGGACCGGAGTTAGTGCAGCAAACCATTGAAAAGATTAAAGTAATTCGGGAAAGGCTATATGCAGCCCAAAGCCGGCAAAAGAGCTACGCCGATAAAAGGAGGAGGCTACTAGAATTCGTAGTCAGGGACTTTGTTTTTCTCAAGGTCGTTCCATATAAAGGCATTTTCAGATTTGGAAAGAAAGGTAAACTCGCCCCAAGATTAATAAGACCATTCAAGATGGTTCAAAAGGTAGGAACACAAGCGTATCGATTGGCTCTACCACACACGTTCGCTCATGTTCATGACGTGTTCCATGTGTCAATGCTTAGGAAGTACCATTCAGATTCCTCACACGTTGTCAAGTGGCATGATTTGCATTTGCAAGAAGACGCTTCCTACCTTGAACAACCTATTCAAGTATTGGATTGGAAAGCAAATGTTCTCCGTAATAAGACTATTCCACTTGTGAAAGTTTTATGGCGACACCACGAAGTAGAAGAGGCAACGTGGGAGTTAAAGTCTGATATGCGAGATAGATTTCCTCATCTTTTTCATGAATCAGGTTTGCATTATGAAACTTCGAGGACGTATTTTTTTTTAGGGAAGGAGAATGTGACATCTTGGGTTTTTATTAGGTTCTTTATATTCTTAAGTAAATCATTTTTTCTTTACAATTATTTTTTTTCCTCTTGCTGCCACATGAATTTATTTATTTTTTATCCTTAATATTTAAAATGCATCACGATTTATTTTCCTATTCTTTGTGAGTTAAGTTTTTTTTTTTTTTTTTTTTTTTTTTTTTTTTTTTTTTTAATCTCTATTATGCTGAAACTATTTTTTTTTTCTCCATAGTGGTGTTGTATTATTTTCCATGTTTTAGGTAGAAGGGTGGGCCAAAGACGCAATTAGTTAGCTAAGTTATGCGGGTTCACTATTAGAGGAAATTGTGGGGAAGTATTGCTATTTCTCTGTATTTAAATTAGATGGTAGGGAAAACTTGCAATTTACACAAGATTTATGTATTAGTGGGAAACACCTGTCATTATTCCTAGCATCCTAAGGACACGTTTGTGTTCTAAGATTGACACCAAGCTTAGGCCCTTCCACATATTTTCTCTGCATGTAAGAGTATCTAAAAGTAACTAACAGAAAAGGGAAAGAGGAAGATCGAGCAAGGAAAAGAGGAAGAAAAAGGGAGGCCGAGGAGGGCTAGGGAGTTGTTTATTCATCTATGTAATTGGTAGGGATTCTCTAATTTTGCTGATTTGGGAGATATTCATTTTCTAAAATTTCTTTGATAGTCCTATATGTTATATTGAAATTTCTTTCTCTGTAAGCTCATGAAATATTTCTCTCTAGTTGTGATACTTAGATTTTTTGAATGTCATGTTTTCTAAGATGTGTAGGTTCTGATTTTTCCTCTTTGAAAGATTGAGACAAGCATTGTTTATATCATGTCAAAAACTAATTTTTTCTTTAATTATTTGAAAATAAGGGTACTTCCAGTTAAGGTTTTATGAAATCCCTTTAGGCAAATTGTGTTAAAGTGAGATGTTTACTGGTTTGAGCACAAGAAACAAATTTAGTAGATTTCCTTCAAGTTTGAACTTCTAAGTTGGTACAATAGACATCATGAGAACAGATTTTCTTGGGTGAATTGAGACTGGGTGCGTGAAGTCTCGGAAGGGAAAAGAGGGTACGAGTTACCCTAGGGTGAAAGTCCCAAAACCCGTAGCGATAGACCCTTGTTTGGGTATTTGGGAGATGTTTACACACTGATCGGTGTGGGAGTGACAGTGTGGGACACTCCGGGATGAGTTGAAGGTGTTCGATGTATTGTACCAAAGAAAAGAAAATATTTTTTTAATAAATTTCCTGAATATTTTGTTTAGCTCACTATGAGTTTTGTCTGTTCTTTTGTATGAAAATATAAAAATTCTGATATATATAACATAGTCTATAATTAAAAGAACAAAACCTCATTGAGGCATCATTAGAATTTTCCTACCGGCATTGTCTCACTTCTAACAATTTTCAGGTACCGTCAACCGAGATGGTGGACGTAGGGATATTAATTGTGGTCCATGATTTGCTTTTGAACTGGGATATATTTTTGGATTGAAGCCTATGTTGCTTGATGAAATTATGCTGATAGCATGAGTAGTTTTATTTTGGTTTTTATTATAGTAGTTATAGTATGACTCCTATAGTAGGTTGTAGAATTGTCACTCTTTGTGCTGGTTCGAAAATGTTAGCATGCTCTTCTATTGTATATATTTGGTTTTGATGTTGTATATAGTTGGCTTAAGGTGTAAAGCATGTTATGGTGTTAATGTATGGGTTTAGTCTATTTCAAGGTATTAGTTGTACCCTCTTTTATGTGTATACCAATGTAGTTTTTGTGAATTGACTAAGTTTCTACCCATTTGTATAAAGACCTTGGTGTGTAAATGTATCTGTTTATATGTAAATGGTTATCTAGAGACTTCTTGCTTATGTTCCCTGTGGGTTTGAATGATGGAATTGATGATAGGGAATCAGAAATTGTTTTGTTGCAGGAAATTCACTTTTCTTTCAATTTTGCTGAAATTCAAAAATTTCTCCAAGGAGCTGTATTGATCCAAATGCTTTCAAATTTTTACCACAACTTTTTTTATGCATCTAGTATTTCTCCATAAAATTTTGTAATTTTGGATTAACAGATATTTTTCTAAAAATTCGAGAGTACAGCTGTCCGAATTTTACATCTGTTGGAAATCAGATTTTACTTGAATTATTTGACCAACTTTTCGAGAACGGATCTTTATAAAAATTTCTAGTTTTATACTTTGCTAAGTCTACTTTCCAAAAAGAATTTATTGGAATTTTCGTAGCTCCGGATATTTTCAAATGAATGAAGGTTTCCGAAACACTTTATTTTCAGCTCATTCTTAGACAGCCATTTTCCTTCCAAAAACTAATTTTATCTGCAAAGCTTAAGTTGCTGGGAATTATAGCGTCACATTACCCTTTAAGTCTAGTTTTCAAATCATTTTCGTTTGCTCCGTTTCAATTTAAAATGAATTTGCTACGGATTTTTAAGTAATCGTTACTTAGTTTTCTTTCCAATTATAATGAGTTGTCTATTATTTTTTTTTGGAACCGTACTTTATCATGCCCTACGGTTTTGGGGCGTGACAGGGGTTTAGTTAAAAACACAGATAAAAAGGGTGTTTCATGTAGTTCACCCTATATTATATATATTGTACATATATATTATATTCGGTTTCCTTTCTTTCCTCCTTGATTTATTCCATTTGTCAACTTTATTTCCTATATATAAGCTTTGTTTGGCATGGCTTCCTGGGTGCCTGAAACGGGCTTCCAAACCCAAAAGTCCATTTTGAAAAAAATAGAGTGTTTGGTATGAAATGTAAAATGAACTTCTAAGAAAAGTGACAGTCCCTGAAAGTCCATTTTGGAGAAGACTACAAAACTTGCTTTTTAAATTCACGTTTTGGAAGTTAAGTGAATAATTTTAAGTAACATATTACATTGACGATTTTACCCCAATATATTTCCTAAAGTAGTCGATCATATCTTAGTGGAAGAAGGAAGAGTTGCAGAGAACCATGTTTTTCATCTCAAGTTCATAATTTCTAATTGAATATTTTCTTAATTAGATTTGTTGCTAAAACGGAGCATGGACATTCTTCATCCAATTCCACCACTGCCCTATTATTTTTTTTCTTTTTTTTTGATCTGGATCAATGTTTCAGTATGTTCCTCTCAATCTTGAATTTTGTGGATAAATATCTTATTTAACAAATATCTTAGCAATTTCAATTTTAATGGAATTCTAATTTTCTAAACACAGCAGCCATATATATTTCTCTTTATCTCATTCAATTTAATTTAAATAGTTTACTGGGTTATACCTGAATTTCAGATATTTGAACAGGCTCTTAAGAGCTTTGGATATCAAGATATCAATTTAATACAATATTTTTTTCCACTGAAAAACATTTTCTTTAAAATAGCGACATGAAGTATCATATATATATATATATATATATTCCCAGAAGCTGACATGGTTACTACAATTAAAGATTAATTTTCTTAAGTATTTAAAATTGATAGTATTGATGTGTAGTGATTAATTGTTTATTTGAAATTAGTTTTTAAAGTCTGGGCATGTTTACATTATTTGATATTTATTATCTTTTTAAAATAATAATTACAAATTTTTTTTTTTTTTTGGATTACAACATTGTTGTTAATATTATTCAGTACTATGTCAAATGTAGATAAATATTATAAGGGTATTCTTGTAAATTTATAGTTATTTAATAGTAGAAGGACTTTGTAACCAAACACATATCATGTGAGTAAAATGATTTTTTTAAATAAATGAACTTTTTAAAAGTAAGACAACCAAACACCTTTTGATTCCCAAATTTGTTCATACAAAGTGATTTTTGTAAGCCCATTATGGTGAAATTACTTTTCACATCAGAAAACTCCTCTAAACAAGGTCATAATGTATCAATACAATATAAACATATCAAGTACTACAAGCAATAAAAGAAATGAAGCCTTAGTGGCTCTTGATCCATGGATATAGGCCTTAGTGCCGAACTATGTATATACTGTGTTCATCTTCCTATTTTACATCTTATGTTTCTGCATCATAAATTTAACATGGTATCAGAGCAACGATCCTAGATTATTTTTTTTTACATTGATTGTAGAGAGCAGTGAAGGAGAAGACCAGTAAAATTTGATCCGTTTCTGCTTCAGACCTCTCTTTGTTTTCCTTTTTTTATCAACCACGTGCTTCCAAGTGACGTCCCGCATCATCACGTGCACGAACCTGCGAGTATATCTCACTCGCGCTACACGCGCCCACGTGCTCCTCCTTCACTGACGGTAGTCAACCCTCCCAAGCAATGATCAACTCACCATTGTTTCAGTTCTTGGTCAGAAAGAGGCTGTTTGTGTTTATTACAGGCTTAGTTTCGGCCTTTTACCGGCTTTGTTTCAGATCTTTTTCATTTCTCGGATGGATTACCCGGATGTCTCCCAAAGTTGCTCTGGCCCTTTTCTCGGCTTTGTTCCTACCCATTTCCTCGGTGTTGTTCCGGCCTTTCGAATGCTTTTCGCTTCACCACCGTTTTCAAGATTTCATCTCCAAACTCAAGTTGTCTTCGAGAAACCCATCTTGAGTTTACGGGAGAATGTTGAAATATATATTATATTCGGTTTCCTTTCTTTCCTCCTTGATTTATTCCTCTTGTTTCTCTCATTTCCTTATATATATTATACATATATATTAGGGTAATTTACACAGACCTCTCCTATGGTTTGCCATAATTACAGGCGGCACCCTTCCTGTTCCGAAAATTATGCAGACTTCCTCTACTTTTGAAAATATCCTACACGAACCTCCCTTTCGTTACGGTCAATGCCAGTCAATGACGAAAATTGATGACGTCAGCTACTATTTTTATTAAAATCCCTAAAATACCCTTGTCTATATAATTAAATAAATATTATATTTAAAAGATATATATATATATATATATTTATATATATATATATACTTGATATTATATATATATATATATATATATATATATATATATATATATATATAAAGCCTTCATTTGGTTTAATTAGTGGTGACGGCGGCGAGGATCTATGACGGCGAGAGGATGTGGTGGTGGGTTTGAGACGGTGAACAAACCATCTTTGACACAAATGTTCAAAAACATGTTTTTCAATTCAGTGCGCGTGTGCGAGAGAGAGAAAGAGGACCAGACGCGTTTACCAAATCGGCAACGTGAAATGAATGTAGAAAGTCGAAGAGTGTCTCAGTCAAACCGACGTTTGAAAATATCGTTGAACTCTTTGTCTCTCTCAAATCTCAAATTTTCACCTCTACCTGCTTTGATATTAGGGTTTTGAAGCTTATTAGCCGTCGTTCCCATGGCGGTTGCGAGTTGTTTCGCGACCTCTTTGGCGAAGTTGAAGATGAATCCGAATATGGATTCTACAACACTCCTTGGTTGCGGTGCCTCCACTTCCTATTCTTCAACACCTTCTTTTGTTCCTTCTTCTATTCGATTTTGCAACAAGAAGCCGTTGAAAGTTGAAACAATGGTTTCCAAGAGACCACTTTCTTTGAACCCTATGTTAACCTTAAGGACTCCACCCAAGGACAATCTAGAGGTTTTGATGATAACAAACCATTAATGGTGTTTAAGGACTAATGTTTACATTGAGTATTATAGATTATTCACATTCAAAGGATGACCTCAATGAAGCACGAAAGATCATTCAAAGTATTTCATTATTCAAGATCATATCAAGGAAAACAATGGATACAAAGAAGACATGAAGTTGCAAAGAACCAAATGCAAAGTCCATCTAAAGATAGCTTGAACTATAATGAGCAAGAAAGCAACTCAAAGGAAGGAAGAAAACAAGACTACCTCTAAGCCTAAAGATCATGGACAAAGCTTGAAGAAAAGAGTAGATAAGATGGTGAGTGTTTAGGATTCAATGTCAAAGTATTTATGAATCCATTTGCAGCTCATCTCTATAGGACCATGCATATCATATCATCATTTATATGTTCCTATATATATTAGCAATAGATTATGCACTTCATTCATATATAATTGCATATGAAGTCATTGCTAAAGTGTGAGTTAGTTCAAGCTTGCATAAGCTTTAAAAGAACTCATCACTTGTGCTAGAAATGCTAAGGCCATGCACATCAATCATATAATTCATATTGGTCAACAATTAAGGCACGAGAAGCCTTCATTACCATGAGTTGGTAACGGACATTAGGATCCCTGAATGCGCGTCATGAAAAATTGTGTTTTTGGTTAAGTGTGAAAAATGGACTTTTGAAATAATGATTATTTCAAAATAATTTTTCCCGGTAATAACTCTTTATACTTCAACTAGCTTTAACTGATTTTATCAGAATTTTTGACCAAATCTACATTGGTCTACATAAGGATTCATTTTTACTAAAACTGTCAGAAATCTAAATTTGTACTAAAACTGAATTTCTACATTTTGATTTAGTTGGATTTCAATTTTCTAGTGTTTTTTATTGAATCCAAATGGGGGGTACTTCCTTATTTACATTGTAAACTTAAAGTAAATGGACATATAAATATTGTAAAGACAATGTAGACTAAAGAGTCATTGTATTCATATATATACTCTAGAGTGAGCTAAACTTTGTACATTAAATCTGTGAGAGATTATTGTGAGCTTTGATTTGCATATCAATCTTTGAGAGATATATTTGTATGCAACAAATCTGATCTTCAATTTGTAACGGCTAATGTGGCCCAAGGAAGAAGAAGCAAGCTAGCTTCATATTTGTAAGGGTTAGTGTAACCCAAAGGAAGACTAAGAGAGGTTGTCTCTTAGCAAGGAGAAGTAAGGAGTTACTTCTAATCAAGGTTTGCTCTCCACCTGTAAGGAGAAGCCAAAGTGGATTGGGAAGTCTCAAGAGGGGTCTTGAGCCGAGGGGTTGGAGTTTCCGAACCCCGCTAAAATTGTTGTGTGAATGTTTGCAATATCTTTTCCCTTATCTTCCTTACATTTATGCTATTAATTGCTTATGTCCATATCTTGATTATTGCATAATTGTTAGAAGGTGTTAAGTAAAATTTGCAAATAAAAAATTGGCCATTGTTTGCCATAGACTCTATTCACTCCCCTCTAAAGTCAATACTTGGGCAACAATTGGTATCAGAGCCTAACTCTAATTAAAAAGACTTAACCGTCTTAGAGTACGATCAT